TTTTTCTCTTTTTTTTTCTTTTTCTTTTCTTCTTTTTTTTTTGAATCAGAAAAAAAAATAAAAAGATGAACATAGTTTTTCACTTCTTCTCTTCTTGCTTTTAATTCCATTTTTTAAAATATTTAAGAAGACCCATATTACAAATAATAAGAGAACGTCTGTATGATAGTAAATCATATTGTTAAATTAATTTTAGATTAGTTCAATTTAAAGTCTTTAAAACTGACATTATATCGACTATCTAATTTCTTTCATGTTGAGCTTTATGATAATTATAATCTATACGATATTTAATGTTTTATTTCCTGTCACAAGTTGTTTTATGATATGTATCTAGGACAGCATAAATATTTGTTTCATGTTTTCTTCTCTCTATTTTTCTTTTTGTTATTTGAATGATATACAGAATTTTCATCAATCTTCTTTTTGTCACAGCTGCCTCGCGCCGTGAAAGACAGAAAAAAAAAAAGAATTGTTTAAAAACAATAGAACACACACAAAGTGTGACAATATCAATTAATAATAAAAAAAAAAAAAAAAAATAAAATCATAGTAGCAAGATATTATGTTATTTAAAAAAAGTGACATATATTCCTACTCTCAACAGTACAGAGAATTTTATTATGAAAAAAGATTTTCCGCTTGAAAAAATAATCCTTTAGTAACATTCCATACAATGATAGAATAAATGGTTTGTATTTTATATTTTCAATAAACAAAGAAAATTCATATTGTTCATAAACAAAAATATTCAACAAAGTGAAGCCTGTGGGTAAAAAATGTTCTAGAAAACAATCGTATGTCTTATAGGTTATGTAGTAAAAAAAAAAATAATAGTTAGGATAGAGATGAAACATGTTTGACTCGATAAATCTTTTGTTTCTCTTCGTACTCTATTATCCTAGAAAAAAATGATACAACAATATATTAAAAAAACAGAAAAAAATACGCTTTTTGACAAGATAAGTTACTAGAATAAAAATTTTTAGTGAAAAGAATTTTTAAAGTTATTGAAATAGAATAATTTATATTTAAGATGATATATCTTTAACATGTTAATTACGAGACTAAGACCATCAATTATTGAAGATGCCTCTATCATATTTTTATATTTTATTTTATTTTGATTCGAGAGTCGTCATCGTCGTCTCATTGATCACCCGTGTAAGTAGGTAGAAATAGTTTCTTCTTTTCGATTGTAGATATCTTTCACACATCATTAAATCTCCTTGATTATTCATATTTACTATTGAAATGCGTATATATATATATATATATGTATCAAATATACTGAACAAAGACGAAAGATTTTCTATTGAAGAGTAAATTACCATTATTATGCGTACCTACATAGACCTATATAGATTTTTGATATTAAAGAGTCTAAAATGTATGTAAAAAGGTAGATCGTCGTTTGTTTTAGTTGAAATGAAAAAAAGAGATTTTCTCTCTCTCTCTCTCTCTCTCTTTCTCCCTCGTTCCGTTATGTACAAAAATAATAATAGTAATAATAATAATTACGACACCAGAGCATGTTGATTTTACCAATTTTATGAGGTTTCATTCTCTCTGTTTTTCTAAAAGAAATACCTAAATGTAAATAATAAATGTTTGTACATAATAGTAAATGTACATAATCGATCTTATATATATCGTAGGTAGACGCCATAAAAAGAGAGAGAGAGAGAGAAAAGAGAAGAATTGGTCATAAATAAAATACAAATTCAATAACTGATACATATTAGTAAGTGTGAAGAAATTTTTTATTAAATAAAAATACATACATACATAGAGTATTATAGATTTATTTCACTCGATTGACCTTCCTTCTGTCATTGATATCGTCTTAAAATGAACAAAATGAAATAAAGACGTATAACTAGTCACAACTATACTTAGAAAAAAGAAAAATCAATTTTAAATAGAACAAGAAAAAAGAAAAAGAAGAGTTTTGAAGGATAAAAAAAATTGTTATATATTTAGAGTTTAATGTTTTTTTTCATAGAAAAAAAAAAAAAAAATGTTAAAATTTCGTTAAAATAGATTTGTTCATAGGGTTTTTTTTTTTTTGAGTAAATAATTGACGATGCAGTCACCTGTATAATGGCAGACATAGGATTCTGATCGAAATAGTTTTCTTGTCTCAAAATCTTAAGGGAATCAATATGTGATGATTTAGTTAGGAAGTGATGTACATTTTTCTTCTTTTTTTTTTTTTTCTTCTTCTTTAATAATATGTGTATATATTTGATAAACGCGCTCTCTTTATCTAATAATCGATAACTTTATTCAATCATTCACTTTTGTAAGGTTTCATCACTACGACTAATGGCCGATTAGTTGTTGTTATAATAGGGTGTATTATATGTCGTGTTTAAAAAAGATATTTTAATAAGATTGATTGTTCATATACGATGATGAGAAATAACAGGGAAAAAAAATCTTTCTTTTTATATGTACGATGTAATCTCTATTTATAAAAGGTAAATCTATTTTAAATATGCCCCATCCATCGTTTTTCATGAAATAAAATATAAAAAAAAAAAAAAGAAGAATAATTAGAAAAGAAAAGAATATTCAATCATAAATTATTTAATAATTATTAAAAAAAATTGTGATCATATTTATTCAATCAAACCTATCTTTTCAATGTGTACTATTTCAAGGACACAAGAAAATAATCGACGACAAATGAAAACATGATAATTATCACACACACAAATCGTTTTTGAGTAAGCTTCATTGATTTTCTTATCATATCAGATTGAGTTATATTGTGTAAAAAAGAAAAAAGAGAAGAAAAGTTTACTAACCAACAGGTTTCAGGATTAAAAATAGAATAGAGGTATGTAGTAGCATCGTATACAAGAAACATAGAGAACATAAATTTTATTTATAATGCTAAATATTCAAATATATTCTGTTTTTTTTTCTTGAATATATACGATTATAACCACACACACATACAGTAGTTTGCTTCATTTTCTTTTTTCAATAGAAAAAAGAAAAATAGTTGCAGTTACTTTAAAGAGAGAACAAAGAACAAAAGCATAATATCCTTACCTATTTATACATAATTGATCAGAGTACACTTTGTTCGATTTCAGAAGAATAATTCTTCAAAATTTGATGTGTTTGAATAAACGTTTTTCATTATTCATTTCGGTGGTACACATTATACTATACTCAAATGCGTTCGTTGTTCCTAATTTTCTATTCATTGTAGTGAGGACGAGCATAAGATTATAAACGATAGATGAATGGAAAAATGCTGTCAACCAATTTGTTGTTGTATCAAACTATAAACACTGAAGAGAGAGAGAGGAAAAGGATGACAGACGGCTACGATCTTTTTCAAATCATTCAAATTTTTGTCATTATCAATAATCTTTGAAAATTTTTGTTTTCTTACTAATGAAACATATAAAAAATTAACTAGAAAAACATTGTTTTACAGTTTTTAAGAAAACAAACAGTCAGATCTTTCTCATACATTTTTGATCGTGTCTTTGTCAAAAATTTGAAGACTCTCAGCATCCAAGTAAACAGTTTCTACAACAGTATCAGAAATTTGTATGATATAGGGTAAAATCGATCGTACACTTAATTTTTCTAGACTGTATACTTATCGATTCAATATTTAAATATACAAAAATATCTATAAAATATTAAGTAAAAGAAAACGAAAAGTGAAGAAAATAACAGTGAAATATTTTAAACAATGAACTTGATGGTCTATTGTTATTTTTTCGTCTATTTGCTCATATTATTTTAAAACCACTTGATCAAAGTGAAATAAAATAATATATAGAATAAAATATGAGATCGATTTCAATATGAACAAATTTTATCCTTGTGTGGCTTCAGTAAACGATTTTAAAATATAAAAAGATTTTTTTTTTTTCTTTTTTTCTCTCCTTTTTTTACTGAATCTCGTGTCAAGACAAATATAAGACACTGAAATAAGATTTAATCTCGATCAAATTTGATGGTCTTCTCTTAGAGTGTAAAGAACAATAGAAGATCAATATTGTTGTTACTGTTACTAACAATAATAACACGTATAAAATGCTTAGTTATGATGTTTGTTAACGTGTGTTATATTTCAATTTTCAATTGTCATTCATCATTGATCCTATTTTCATATTTGTGATAATCATTTACTAAATAGTTGTTGTTCTTCTTCTTTGCTTTTATTACAGAAAACATTTTCTTTTTTCTCTATATTTTGAAGATAATTTTTTATTAATATTATTTATTAGGATTTTTCTCATCATCATCATCATCATCATCATCTTGTTTCTCTTTCTTTTTTTTCTTATTTTTTTGTTGTCAAACAATAATCTGAACGATGAACACCATGTAGACCGTCCGAGAGATACATAACAACATATGTTCATTTCTATCGTATCATTTTTCTGGTGTATGTGTGTTTAGAGAGAAAAAATAATAAGTATAGATTTATTACACGTTTTTTCTATACGATAAATATTTGAGCTTTAAAATTAGATCAAAAACTCTATTATTTTCAATAGATTACTCAATACTGAATTTTATTCACACATTTAACAATATAATCGTTAAAAAGAGTTGATAGAGAGAGGTATCGCAATTAACGTATTTTAGTCGCATTCTTGTTAAAAACTTTTAACAATTAAATGGTCTGGTAGAGAAAACTACCAAATTTGTTTATAATCGATTGAATTTGTATAATCATGCTACATTTCTATTTGGTTTTGCGTTATCAAGTTAATTATATGTGTGGGTATGCAAAAGTAGTCATGTTGAATTTAAAAAAAAATTGTTGATTTTTTCACCTATTATAAGAATAAGAATAGTTCAAATATAAAACTGTCACATATTCTACAATTTATATTAATATTTTGTTGATTTTTTTTGTTTTACTAAAACATAACTTCTATCTTTAATTAATAATTTTCATTTTTTCTAGTTTTACTTCGATGTCAGTTAAACGAAAATTCGATAGTGATTATCAGTCAATGGCGACGACTGACAAAAAGATCACTTTAAATGGAACAAATGGTGATAATAAACATCTTATTCTTGAATCAATTAATAATCATGATCATATTAAAAATGAATTGATTCTATTTACGGATCAACAACAGGATTTATTTGATTCAAAAAATAAAAAACAACGACTCTTATCTAGTTTAGATGGAGTTCGATCTTGTTCATCTTCTCCTTCTTCATTACTCATGTTAAATGGTAATATTGATCATACATCTGATTCTTATCCAACATCTCCTATTAAACAAAATAATTCAATGGACAATGGTACTAATAATCATTGTTCGCCCGAACAACAGCATAAAACAATTTTTTCTGCCCAATCATTATCGTCACCATCAAATAATAATTATGTAACTTATGCACAAATTAAAGAAGAAACTAGTCGACGTAAGTTTACAAATATTATTTAGAGAAAAAATGAAGAATACGATTTTTTAAATTTTTTTTTTTTTAACTTTTTCCAGATTCTGATATAATCCCAGACGATTTGATACAAATCAATTTTTCTTCATCTGATAAACATTCATCAAATATTTCAGCTGATGAACAACATGGTGATGTTAATACACCGACAACCAGAACTCCAGTCACAACATCACCCATAACAGAATGTCAAAGTGAAGAAAGTGATTGTCTATTAAATGAGAAAGATGAAAAAGTGAAAAAAATTAACAAACGTAAATCTGGTGCAAGACATAATAATAAACGGTTACATAGTAATGACGATTCATTTAGTAATACAAATAATTATATTACTCAATTACCATTACCATCTCCTGCATCAACAACAATTCATTCAGGTTCAATGAATGCTACAATTATTTTAAATTTAATACGTCCATTACTTGAAGGAAAACCGGACGATGACATTGAGACAACATTGGACTATTTAATTGACAGTTTACAGAGACTTCGTGAACATGTAAGAAAAGCTATAGATAACGAAACTATAAAAACTGGTAGGTTTTATAATAAAAAATTTATAGTTTCAACATATAATTTATATATTATTAATTTTAGAGTCTGTATCTCCTCGATTTTATAAAGAACAACGTTCAAATGATGATCATCCATTAAATTTGACCAAACCAAAATCAAAAAAAACAAATCGTTTTAATAATAGAGAAACTTCAACGAACAGTGATAATAGTAATTCAAATTCTCCATCGCCATTAATTAACAGTGCTAATAGTGCGAATAATAATAACAACAATGTATTTTCACCATTTCTATATGCTAATAATTCATTATTTGCTGCTCTTGCGAGTAAATAATATCGTTTTTATTAACTCTTATATATAGATAAAATATCTTTTAATTTATTTTAGCACAAAGTCCACCATCACATCTTAGTTCATATTTAAGTTTGTCCAAACTGGCAAATGAATCTGTAAGTATTGCATATCTAGCAAAGTATAAATAAACAAAAATTAACTACTTTGACATTTTATTTTTAGAATCTAAAACAAAACAGTGATACTAACAACAATACAGCAATGCGATTCTTAAATCCGGCATTTTTAGCAGGTAATGAAAATTATACATCATATCAACATTATTCAAACTTATATAAAAATACTTTTCTCTTAGGCTGTATGAGTATGTATGGTTTTAATGTTCCAGAGTCAACATCATCATCAAATACTGGACATTCTTCTGCAACAACATTAGGAACAAATTCCATATCTCCATCTTCATCTTTACATCATCAATCGTCAAATAATTCAGCAGTCGGATTAAACATAGCTGCTCAACATCATTCATCTCACCATCAACATTATAATAACGTTGATATTCATGAGTCAAAAGACAAATATTCAATGATAGAAAAAGAACCGTCCATAGGTACGGTATGAGTTACTAATATTAATGTCTTGCTGTTTTCAGATGAAGTCATTGTCTTTCAGTTCTCTTTGGTGTTATATTCTTGTCTTCAGTTAGATAAATAAGAGATTTAATGTTAACAATATGTACTATAAACTGTTAAAGATATAATTTTTATGCGATAAAATAAACAAGATTAAAAGACAGTATATTAAATGAATCATGAAAAATCAACTACTAATCAATCAGTTCAGTATATAATTTTTATATTTACTAAATATTTAGTGACGTCTAGTCAAAAGAAATATGTAGTTTAAATTTCATATTGTTAATGTTTAAACACTTTCTCAATATGAACATGTAATAATCATACACAAACGCTGTTGATTTATGAATGATTTTACTCATTTAGTAGTTGAACTTAGTGTTTTTCAGTTTTTATCTTCAAAAGATCCTTTAGTTCTAAGATTTTATTTTGATTTAAATATCTGAACTCTTTAAATACACACCGGAACATTTAAGACAAAGGAAAAATATTTGTTCTTTTTTTCACTTCTGTAAATTAACAACATTAGTGTAGAGATTTTTAGAAAAATGCAGACTATAAATTTCATTAGAAAGAGCAAAGAAAGCATTACAGACAGACAGACAGATAAGCAAAAGATATCGAAATGGAATTGTTCAAAAGTAATAAATTCATCTTAGATTTAATATGGAACATTTGTACGAACAAGTCTAATAGCTTCCTCTCTCCTCCTCTTATAACTCTATGATAAGAAAGCTTCTTTTCTTCATTGATTTATTATGTTTTGTTATCAAATTTTATTTTTATCTTTTTCTTTTTTAATTAAATATTCAAGATTCTCATCGTTATACGTCTTGTCTGCGTATGTATGAAGAAAAAAGAATCTATAGAGACACATTCTACACTGATCGATTAAGATCCATATAAAAGTTACTTTGTTATTTCAATTAAAAAATCATAGTATGTACGCGAAAAGCGAATAAGTAAAAGAAAAAAAACAGATGACATATATATAAGTATAACCTTCATCTTGTCAACTATTGATATCTCTGTACATTATTTTATTACCTGAAGTGTGAGATAAATCTAGACAAATACTTCTCAATAAAAAATGTACATGAATGTACATTTATACAATGTAGATCATTAACATCATTAGAGTCAAATCGGGCAAGGTTTATCGTTATTATTAGAAAGAAATACGATAAAAAAATAATAATCGATACCAGTTTTATTCTGTTTTATGATAAATACTTTGTGATATATAATTGTAGATTTTGTCCACCGTTTAATACTTCATCTATTTCAAGAGAGACATTTATTAGAGTGTTATTATAAGAGAAACATATAGGATAATTAGTTTTTCATTTTTTGTGTCGTTTAGTTGAACCTATTCGTCACAATAATCGACATACGAACGATAATGATCAACATATTAAGAGGCCAATGAACGCTTTTATGGTATGGGCACGTGAAGAAAGACGAAAAATTTTGAAAGCTTGTCCTGATATGCATAATTCAAGTATAAGTAAAATATTGGGTGCCAGATGGAAAGCAATGACTAATGAAGAAAAACAACCCTATTATGAAGAACAATCTCGATTAAGTAAAGTACATATGGAAAAATATCCCGACTATCGATATCGGTATGTAAAAGTTATTTATTCTTTTTTCTTATTTATATATAAATAAAACAAATTTCATTGCTGCGTAGGCCACGACCTAAACGAACATGTGTTATTGATGGAAAAAAATTAAGATGGAGTGAATACAAACAAATGTTAAAACAACGAAAAAGATGTCAGTTTGGTGAAATAGGTGGATCATTACCTTATTTAGGTAAATATAAAACTAATACATATGAAGTTTCTACGGATGATCTTACTCTAATCAATATTATTTTCTCTTTTCACTTTAAGAAATGAAAGATGAAGATGAAAGTAGTTCTGACAGTCAAAATTCGCAAAAAGCTCTGTTATTTGCTGAGTAAATACTATATATTTATATTACATATCTTGTGATCTTAGCGCAGTGTGTCTTATTCTTCTTGTTAATCTCAGCCATTGTATATTTCATTTTTTTCATGCTGTTGGTTTTACTCTCTTTGTCTTTATATGCTTCTTTTGATTTTTTATGTCTCATATTTAATATCTCAGTTTTTATTATTATTATTATTTCTCGTTTATCAGAGTGTCCGATGAATTTTTTTTATTTTTCTATTATGTTTTGCTACTTGATTGCAAACACTATTCTACAACTAAAACTACTCTTTTTCTCTTTCACAAATAAGTGACATTTTCTTTTGTATAAATTTATTTTCTTCATATACGCGACAATCTTCGTCTTGTTTTTTTGTGAATGCTTGTGTCTAGCCAAGAGAACAGCATTCCGTTTTTAGCAAATCAGTACTCTGACAGTTGTTGTTTTTTTTGTCTGTTTACAGTGATATTGCAGTATTTGTTAGAAGAAAAAAAAAAAAAATGAAACAGAAAGTTCTTGTAGGAAAGTTGACAGTTTTGTATTTTTGTAATCCCCGATTGTTTTTTTTTAAAATAATTTAGCAGTCGCGGCACTCTGTATGTATGTGTTTGTGTATGTACATATTTTTGTGCTCAACTAAACATTAACAAATACAATAACAACAGCAAAACAGTGAATCTCAAATTGATCTTTCTTTCTCTTATTTTTATTCATGATAAAATAAACAAAAACGTCCTTTTTTTATCTTCGTTTTTTGTTGTAGACATCCGGTGGAACAATTCGTGCTGTCTAAAGTTTTTGATTTATCATTTTACACTTCGTTTTCTTTTTGTTATAAATTGTAGAAAAATTTGTACGCAACAGTTGGTTTGTTTGTTTTTTTCTATATTTTAAATTACATAATAAAAGATGAGAAAATACTTCAAGAGGTTTTTAGACACAATTTTCTTCACCTTCTCATGAGTACTAGTATACAAGGGATAAAATGTACTGGATCATCTCTTCAAGTGTTCATGGATGAAACCAAAAATGTCAAAACTTTAATTGTGGCACCGTTTTTATATAAACTTTTAAGAGTAATTAATTCTATGTGTAATCTATCAGAGTTTGAAATTCGTACTTGATTCATTGGTAATTACTTGGAAAATTTGGCAAATATTTTCAGAGTTACTTTTTTGTCTGAATTTCTACAAGTACTTCTTGAAGGCTGCAATACTTGGTTTTATTGCTATGAAGTACTTTGTGGAAGTACTTGTCAAGTGAAAACTGACGTACTTATAAGTAAATTTACTTCTGAAAAAGGGAATGTACCAATTTTGTTAAGCACGCGAGAGAGTAACTTACCAGATGATATATTTCCATAAGAAAAAAAAGGCACAAAAACACTGTTTTTATCGACAGCTCATGCAAAAAGTTTATTTTAATATTTGGCTCAATAACTTAGAATGTTTTCTTTCTCAACCTGGCTAGTTGTTAACAAATGAGTATTTTTTTAAAAAAATGTATCCCTGGACCGAGAATCGTTCATTTCAGGCTCCAAGCAATCTACTTTAAATTGGATTTCGTTCAAGTTTTGTGGTAGATTTTCTAAAAACCCTGTCATGTTATATCCTGAAAAAAATTTCACACGGTTAAAAAAACGCACGTTTTTTTCGTTCCCGCCGGTTTAACCATCAGATAACCTGACTCTTAAAATGTCAGGTTAAAACAAGCATCAGATTTTGACGTTTAAGCCAATAGGTTAGCACGACTAAAGTCGGTATACAGCGGGTCGAAAAATTATTCATTCATCTTTGTTTTTAAAATCTCTCCTCGACTGTAATAGCTAGAACAAATATGAAAAAAGATATGAACAGCTAAAAGATTTGCAGTTTGATGTGGTGTGTATAAAAGCTCCATCAAAATTTCTGAAACCAGGGTCTCTGGAAGACCAGAACTTCAGAAAATCGCTTCCCTGAATTCGATTGGGAAATTTTTTGCAAATAACTTCATCATATAGAGCAAATATTTCTGAACTGCAATATTTTTATGCTGCATTGAAACTGTACGTAGTCAATAATTAACTTTTTACTATCGTTGCTTTTACTTAATTTTGTACTAATTAGAGTTCAGCACTGGTAGGTGAGTACTCTTATACAGTTCCGCTCAGATATATGAGCTGAGCAAAATGCTTTATTAAAGAAACATTTAGACTGAAAGTTGACTGAGCATGGGTTACTTAACAACCTGGATTCCTATGAAAAACAATTCCCACATGTTTTTTTTTGCGGGGACTGTTACTTCAGTTTACTACTACTACTAAGTCCACAGGGTCTTAGCTTGACGGCTTTCAACTCATGTATATCTGGGCGGAATTGTATGAAACTACAACGGTATCAGCACTACATTATCACGCAGCACATGTGAAGAAAATGACTACCTGTGTCATTATATCGCACTAATGCGCATCTACGCCGCGTAGATGTTAGTAAATTTTAATTTGGAAAGATATTTCAGAATAGTTTGTTGAATGATGATGAAGTTTGTTTCTCAATATTTTGTATATCAACTTGTTCAAGTCAGACAAAAGTTTGCGTTTGCGTCTATCCGCCCAAAATATGATAACCATTCACAAGCACGCATGACTCACACCACACCACTAGCTCATTTGGCCGCGTTGTCAAGCCCTTAACTTACACGCTTACTACAGTATTCTATTTCTGTTAACGAAAAGCTGCAAATTTAACCGAAAATTGACTGATATGTTTCTATATTTGTCACCTCTATTTTGTAAAAAGCTTGCTGTTGCTAAGATACAATAAAGTAGAACAAATGTAATGGCAAATATATGCCATCGACAAAGTTACTCTTCTTTCCCCACGGTTAGAATGCATACATGAATGATGAGTGAAGATGTGAAATACGTCCTTCTGCCTGCGATTCAGGAAAAGTCGAAGCCAACAAAATTTCAACCATGGTAAGGCCGTTCCGAGCTAAATTTCTTTTTTTTGTTTTTACTGTTCTTCGTTGACAAAATATTTCTGTCATAGCTCAATAAATAAACAAGAACCGATATCAAAGTGAGTTAATCGGTCCTAGAAAACTGTGCTGCTACTTTTATTGCTTAAAAACTAGACAATCTATTTTTTTCAAATTATCTGCTTGTATATCTGAGAAAAAATTTATCTGCTTTGCTACTATTTTGACATTCGTAGAAGATTCAAGGTAACTTTCACAGAAATACTGCTAAAGCATATAGTTAGGCTATCAAATGTATCTTGTCCCTATCTGCTTCAGTTATTTCATTGTAATTGAGTAGCACTTTTTCATTTATTTGAAACTAACGATATTTTTTTAAGGTACCGAGAAAGATTCAAGAACAAATATATCGGTGGGAGATCGCATTTATGTTTATTAGACACTAAACATTGGATGTTTGTGAAAGATGGTTTGGATGACTTTAGAGATGGTCTTCCTCCTTCTCACGACGATATTGTACTTCCGGTAAAATCGATTCACGGAAGAAAAAAAATATAATTATTATCTATTTTATCTTCATTTAGGCAGATAAAAACGGTCCATCACCATCAATAATTGATTCGACTCGTTTAATAAAGAAGAATGCATCTAATATCAATTCAAGATTGAAACCGCATCAAATTTATTTTAGTAAAGAATTACCAGCCGCTGAAAAACGCCGTAATTTAGTTGATAGATATATATCAACTTTACTGGATCATCCATTGGCGTTTTTTTCACATTTCAATGACGCTTTACCAAGCAAAGTAAGAACTGGCGTTTTCGATTTATTAATTAAGATAGTTCTGTTTTCTTCTCTAATACAGCTTTATGAAAGAGTCGCAAAGCTTCTTGAAGCAGAACTCTTACGATCAGGTGATGATCATGGATCAAGTACTGAACCCGAAAAAGAGTCTGACGTAGGAAGTATTCACAGTCGAATACCAACAGCTACCAGTGAAAAAAGTAACAAAAATATGAATAATAACCAAGAATTGTATGTATAAATTAAAGGCATATCGGACAAATGAATGCACAACGTCTGTTTTCATGTTTAGAAAAATGTCTGAGCAGTTTTTTGAAGCCCAGGCGAATACTGGTGATTTTGAGCAAAATCGTTCAAGTACGTCTCCTGTTGAAAGTGTTCAATCAAATCACTTAAATACTGGTTCAACTGTCTATGATGAAAATCAAACTTCATGGGAAAACGCTGAAGAATTAGAAAAAAAATTAAAAAACCCGTATAGATGGTTTATTGAAAAACAGCGTGAAAAACAAGCATCTCAAGGCCCAAGCTCCGATGAAAGCGAAGCTATGGCTATGGTAAAACGATAAAGCTAAATCTATAAATTAGAATCAGTTTGGTCTTCCTTTTAGGAATCGCGACTTCGAGTCGTATCAGAAGAATTTTGCAATTGGCTTCATTCACTTGGCGGTGAAAGTAACGTTGATATTGATCCGAGGTGAGTGATTGAAGCTTATTAGAATTAAATGATGACTATTATTTTCAATGTATTTTAGTGTGGTTCGAAATTTATTTTCAACGGCATATGATACAAAACCAGCATTGAGTGTGCCAATAAAAATTGTAGAAATGACAAGAATACCAGTTGAATTGCGAGAAGGTGCACAAGAAACCATGTTACCATCTGATCTAGAAGAGGCTAGCATCTCTGGTGATAAGGTATTGTTAAACGTTTTTTCATCTAGAAAATATCGTTGATACATTTCTCTTTCACTCTAGAACTTAAAGTCACTAAGCAATAAACAAGCACATCCTACTCAAACTCGAATAGTTGATGAAAAACAGAATCGGCAGAAGTATCGCTATGGTGCTTGGTATTTGCCAAAAGAATTATGGAAAAAAGCATTGAAAGATGAAGAATTACAAGATCCGAAAGTACTTAAAGAAGAATTGGAAGATGTAACGAGACAACGGGAAGAACAAATTGTAAGTAATACTTTTCAACGTAATTTGTGCACTAAAAGTGTTTTTATGAATTGTTACGATATTTAGAATGCTCGACTAGCTCCATTACACGGAGTGAAAGCGTTTAAAGAATATTTACAAGAGAAAAATTTTCGAAGATTACCTAAAGTATGTGTTAATTTTGCATTTAAGTTGTTAAAACTTCAGAAAATTCTATTTTAGTTAATTACTGATATTGAACAGTATAGAAAAGATCATCGTGATATTGCTGCTCCTTCATCGACAGACAGTCGGTTGAAAATGTCTTAATCTTAGTTATCTAAATTTATGTTACGATTATTATATTTTATCTTTAACTACTACTACTCTTTATCTGTTTCTTGTTTCGTCTCAATCGTAACAAAACATCATTTTTATTATTAATTTAAATCCGAAAAACCGTTCTATTTAAGATTCTATTTATAAAGAAGTGATTGCAGCAGCACTACGCAGTTTTTTGTAATTAATGTTTGCTACAAGAAGTTTTATTTGTTGTTTTATTTTTTATTTGCTTGTGTTGTCGATATATCATTTTAAAGTGTCATTATTGAAAATATTTATTTTTATTTAATACATAAAATATTTAGTAATTAAAATGTTTTGCTACTATTATCATTTCATCTACAGCGTTAGTCTATAAAAATCATCTTTTTATTGCATGAGAATAAACCCGAGTACATACATCTAAAGTCAACCAAGTAGACAAAAATGTTGTAGAATTGTTGCACCGCTGTATATCAGATACCAAAAAAAAGGAGTTTTAGAAATTCTCTATTGTAAGAACGCAAATATTATTGATTTTTTCACGAAATACATTGTCAAATGTTTAATGGCTTTAATCTATAATGATCTTTTGTTTTTACTTCGATGATTTCTCTACGTATAACATTTTCAGTGCTGTAAATTGTTTCGACATATGTTTTCTAGTCTTACTTCTAGATTTTCGATGAAATAATGACCGATAAACCTGATTTGTATGCTGGCTATAATGATTTTAATCCTTTACTGGATACAGATGTGAGTCTATAATAAAATCATGTTGATTTTAACTATTCACATACTAATAATTCATTTTCGGTTACATCTTTTAGGGTCTTAAATATGATACAGATTTACAAATGGCAGTGCTAAAAACTAGTCATGGTCGAAGAGCTCCGCCGGTATGTTGATTTTGTATTTTTATAGCGAGCTGTTCTTTTTAATTTTAATCCTTTTTATTAGACTGCAGCAGCGGCTCAAAAGGTAATTATACATTTGATATTGCAATAAATATTCAGTTTATGTTTACCATTCTATCATCAGGGTTCATTGTTTTCAAAAATGAAGAATATATTTAAAAGTTCAAAAAATACCGGTTTAGCTCAACCACCTGGTAGTTCAATGGGTGCAGCGCCAACTCAACGAATGGGAACAGCATCGACAAGGTTAGCACAACAACAACAGCTACAACCTCCTGGTTCTGCCGCTAGAATGCAAACTGGTACCGCTCGACCAGGTGGTCAACGACCAACAACAGCGGTACAAGGAGCAGGTTTTATAACTGGTTCTATTGGATCTGGTGCTAGTACAATAGGGACAATAACTCCAGCACAATTTGAAAAAAAAGAAGAAACGTAAGTTTTATTAGTAATAGACAACAACAAAAAAACTCACATTAATTTTTATCAAAAATTTTTTAGTAGCGAAGATCGAGCAAAAAAAATGGAAAAAATGGTTATTGATCTTGTTGACGAAAGTTGTATTGCACATGAAAAAGCAGATACCCAAGAGGTAAATCAGTTAGTTATTTGATCTAAACTCATTTTCAACTCAGAAAACATTTTATCTTTTTCTAGGCATTACGAAAAGCTGAAGAAGCATTAAAAATCGAAAAAAATTTGAGCAGATATAGAGAAGAACAAAATTTAGGAGAGTCAGATATTGGTCTGTCCGGATTTGTACGTTTTTAATTATTATTAATTTCTTTTAAGTTTCGTATATATTTTAATTTTTCTATTAGGTAATTTTAAATTGTGCAAATATGTACTCAAAATGTGGAATGAACTCTGAAGCACTTAATCAATATAATATTATATTAAAAGGTAAATTGTTACCCGTTTCAAGTCGACTTCGTATTAATATTGGCAATGTATTCTTACACACAAAACATCATGCAAAAGCATTAAAAATGTATCGAATGGCACTTGATCAAATACCTGAACAAAATGCCGATCTTAAGTAAAAATATTGTTTATAAATAATAAAATTTATTTAATTAATATAATATTTTAGATTTAAAGTACGTGAAAATATTGCTGCAGTTCATATCGAAATGGGTCAATATAATGAGGCAGCTCAATGTTACGAGTCAATTGTACAAGAACGTCCAAATTATCGTAGTGGATTTAATTTATTATTGTGTTATCATACATTAGGTCAACGAGAAAAAACAAAACGGGCATTTACAGATCTGTTAAAAATTCCATTTTTATCATCAGATGATGATAATTATCAAGCGCCACCGGTATATTTGATATTTATATAATTAATAATGAATTGTATGATTTATATACGTTTTAGGAAGATAAACAAGCCAATTTAGTGATGGAAGCAATTCGTGATGATCGATTAAGAACATTTGAACGAAAGAGGTAAAGTGATTAACAATAAGACACGAACTGATTATCCAGAAACTAATTCAATTACTTTAGACGACGTTTTGCTGAACACGTTATTGTTACAGCTGCAAAAATTGTTGGCAGTAATGTCGATGGAGATTTTGTATCGGGATATGAATGGTGAGAATGGAGACAATATTAAAAAAAAGTTGAAAAAGTGCATTTTTTCATTTTCCGTTGTTTAGGTGTATAGAACAAGTTCGAAATTCAACTTATTTAGAACTTGCAAGTGGACTCGAAATTCAGAAAGCCATTGCTTATTTACGTGAAAACAATTTTCAAAAAGTAGATTTAAAATTGAAAATATAGTCATATCTTATCATTTGAATGTAACATTCGGGTTTGTTTTAGGCAATATCAACATTAAAAGAGTTTGAAAAAGCAGAAGCAAAACTGGCTAGTGCAGGTAATGATCAGCATAATCTACTGTTAAGCTAAACTACAAACTTTTCTAAATCAAATTTTTTTCATTATAGCTGCCACCAATTTATCATTTCTCTATTTTCTTGTATGTTACACGTATTTTTGTGTCGTTTTGTCGTTTAACTTTTTATATGTATTTTAATTAGGAAAAAGATCTTCCAAATGCTCATAAATATGCCGATTTAGCATTGAAGACTGATAAATTTAATCCAGCATGTAAGATTTTCTTCCTTATTAAATCTTTTACTTTACGTAATAAAGTTTCTGTGTTTTTTTAGCATTGACAAATAAAGGAAACTGTTGTTTTGCAGAAACTGACTTTGAGAAAGCACGTTATTATTATGAAGAAGCATTACACATTGACGCTGGTTGTGTGGAGGCGCTTCATAATCTTAGTAAGGGACTCTTCTATTAATTTTGTTTGAAAAATTCAATCTATTCGATATCTTTTACTCTACATAAGTATTGACATTAATGAAGTCAAATCAATATCAACGCGTGAAAGATTTACTTCATAAATATACAACAATCCAGCCACAAAATACACAAGTGTTTTGTTTAATGGCAAAAACCTTACAACAGACTAATGACGCTGATCATGCGAAGAGCTGGTAACTTTTAAACTGATCTTCCTGTAGTTTTTTATTTACTCTGTGACCATCATTATCATTAAACTCACTCATAGATGACAAATATTTACGATTTCTAGTTTGTGTTCTTCATTTTGAGGGATAACCGATAATAAATATGATCTACATCTGTCGTTATTTGTGTCATCTCATATAGTGTAGACTTATTCTACCACAAAATTGATTCTTAAGCAGTAATAGTTACGGAGAAATCTCTAAACATCTGTTGAAAATTAGAAATTTAACATAGTTGAACGTAATGATCGATTTTGTTTTTTTAAAGGTATTTACAAGCGTTAAGTGCATACCGTATGGATAGTCACTTACATAGGAAATTAGGTGAATTAATCGATGAACAAGGTGATAAATCCGATGCATTTCAATACTTCTTTGATGTAATTATAATCATTTAAAAAAAAAATTAACTAATTAATCTATGTAGTGACTAACTGATTTTAGGCCTATCGACACAATCCAACAGACATTGAAACTATTCAATGGTTAGCCTCGTATTATATTGAAGCACAATATCCAGAAAAAGCCGGTAGGTAAAAATGATGAACGATATTTGAGCATACAGTATTTAATAAAAAGTGTCTATTTTTAGTTGAGTTTTGTGAGCAGGCAGCTCTAGTCAGGTGAGCTGTGTGCAGTGTTAAACAATTTTCATAGACTTTAAAATTATTATCTATTTTTTAGACCCGGTGAAATTAAATGGCATATGATGGTTGCTAGTTGTCATAGACGAAGTGGAGACTATACAGCAGCTTTAGAAAAATATAAATGGATTCATAGCCATTTTCCTGATAATACAGATTGTGAGTATTTATTGATTTTAATAATGTGTTTTACACGATTTTTCTTAAGGTATACAATTTTTGGTTAAAATTGCCACGGATCTCGGTTTACCGGAGGTAGAACATTATCAGAATGAATTAAAAAAAGTAAATAAAATGAAAGAAGTTCAAATGCAGGTAATACTTTTGTACTGATATATTTTCATTCAATTCTAAAGTAGTTTATAATTTTAGAGAAAAACAAGTGCTGAAAAAAGTAAAAATATTGTTAAAGGTCGAAAAATATCGTCTGCTGACAAAGATGGTAAGAGCATATTTTGATCTCATTATAAATTAGATAAATATGTTCATGTTGTTTTAGCTCAATTGCTTAGACCAGAAAACAGTGGTGGAAATTCAAGAGACGGTCGACAACCGAGTGGTAACAGACGAAATTTTGATTTGGAAAATACTGAAGGTGTATTTTCACAAAAAGGTATGCTTATAATAAAAAAAAAATCATTAATATAATTCTGATTATTTCTTGTTGGTTAACTTTTTAGATCCAGTATTGGCACAATTTGAACAGCTACCTGATCATATGACTAATGAAAGACCCAAAACAGCTATTAGTAAAAAAGAAACAAATCCTATTGTTTTTGATGATGATGATAATGCGGCTGATTTACTTCCCGATTGAAATGTGTAATTCTCAGAGTAAACTTTTCTAGATAAAACATCTCACTGGTATAAGATTATACCATGTCTTCAAATAAATTGTCACTTTTGTACTATTAAATAGTCTTGTTATTTTCTTATAATGTTTACAGTTAAAGGTGTAGAGAATTTTTGTTAAGTATGAAAAAATATCTTAAATTTGAACATTTTCTGTGTATATAAATGTTGTATGAGCTTTTTTAGTTTTTCATCTGACTTTTTTCTGTAACTATTTGTACGGGAAATCTCTATAAAAATTAAAAAGTTATCGATAAAATTTAGATCTAATTCAAACAGCGGTTAATCCAGACGCACTAAAAATAAAGCATTTTTTATTTTATCGCAGTGAACGAAGAGCAGAAGATAAATTTTTTCAACTTTACAATATTTTGTTTTTGTGTTTTAATCGCACATCTTCAAAGCAACAATTTACATCATGATAGAGAGTAATTCTCGATTATGTTCAGAGCACTGAGAGTCAATAACCTAGCTATAGCATTTAAACTACGGCTGTTGTAATGAGTTTTCTCCCAAGTTAAAGCTGCTCAAAACGTTTTGTTGTGATCCCAAAAGATAGAAAATTTGATGTAGATTTTATTCTTATGTTCTTTTCAAAAGAAGCTATTTTTTGTAGCAATAAAAGTACTGGTACGCACAAAAAGTTAAATTGTTCAGTATACGCTCAGAAAATTTTCAAACTAATTTTTCAACTGGTTAAATTTAGTTCAAAAATTTCTAATGGTAAAAAATAGATAATTTCTCCATGTATCTAGTAGTGTAAACACACTTTGTGTCTGTTAATAAAGATCGAAGTATCAGAAGAAACACCTCGGATGAATGAGATTGCACATTTATCGAAGCTCGACTTAAAAATACAACTTTGTGCGTCTTTTAGTATAAAACAAAGTTTTTTCAATTTGCAATTTGCAATAGATGTATAAACTCTACAAAATATGTTTCTTTCCTGAGACTGAGTCATTTTGAAAATGAGCGCTGGAGTTAAAATTCTTTTGTGAGTAGAGCAACCCAGGTCAAAGAATCTTGCTGTAAGATCTCATAAGGTTCTTGTACGATTTCGTCTGATTTCGTAAGATTCATATAAGAATTTGTAAGATTCTCTAAGAAATATAGAAACTGATTCTTGATGTAAGATCTTATAGTAAGATTTCATCAGATTTTGTAAGATTCTTGTATGACTTTTATACGATTTTATAAGATGAATCCGTTTCTATGATTTTCCGTAAGATTTTATAAGATCGTGTAAGATCTTGATCTGATTTTTTGACCTGGGAAGGTAAGAATAGCCAGTAAAAGGACATATACTTCAGGTGAATTTCATTATCACACAACTAGTCGTTTTACGATAGGAAAACTTAGAATTTAAATCTACTTTTAGTGTTATCTTCAGATCGTGCAACGAAACAATTAAACAGATAAAAACTACATTTCAATCTAACTAAGCAAAGCAAACTTTTTTTGCCTTCCAGTACTTCTATTGCTACAAGAAATAGGTCAAATGCTTATTTTGAAAGGAATATAAGTATAAAATCTACAAAAAATTTCCTGTCTTTTGATATCACAACAAAACTTTTGAACAATTTTAGCTTGTGAAAAATTCATGACAAAAGCGACCAATTTCTTCTGGACTACCCGTTAATTAAGACATTGCAGAATGTGTATCTAAATACTACGCAAATTTTGTTAAATGTGCTGTGCATAAGAATTAAGTATGTTTTTGATGAAAAAAATTGGTAATTTTTTTCCTGTTTTCTCTTTTTTTATTATCATACTTCGTTTAGAGAGTAAATTTTCCTTTTTTTTTATTCATATTGGAAAACAGAGTATAGAAATATTTTTTTTCATGTCTATTTTTGTAATCATAACAAGCAAAAAACGAGGGATGTCTAGTTCTGTTATTTTCTTTCTTCTTATTTTTCTTTTTTTTTTTTATTATATATGAATTTTAAGATAGTGTATTACACACATGCAGTTCTATACATATCGTAGTAGTGGTTGTTCTCTCGTACAAAGAGTCTATAATGGGAAAAAAATCCGACAATTTATGTCCTTGAAAAGAATAGCTTATGGTAACGACGAAAAAAAAAAGAAGAGAAAATGAGAAAGAGAGAAACGTATTTGTTACGGTTTTTTATATTTAGATGAAGTTATTTCTAACACGATTAGAGACACTGCTACCACTATACTCATTTGTCAAAGAATGAAAAAATCATATTATAATGCTGAGTAAATTCCATATTTTTCTATTTTGACATTGGGAATCTTGAGCAATGTGTATGGTTTTTAATTTCTCTTCTACGTCATCTGTTTTTCAGCTGATTGTATTAGATTTCTTTCGAGTACTGAAAGAAAGAAAAAAACACGAAGAATAACAGATACTCGGAGCCACATACACACACATCGAAAAACATCATACAGAAAAATATGCGGAGTAGAAAAAGAAAGGCAGTGTACCGTATTTTGCATCAGTAGTGTATACAAAGTTAAATAATTCATTCTCTTGTTCTTCTTTTCTTCTTTAAAAAAGAAAATCGGAGGATCCATCAGAAAAACAGATGCGAGATAGTTAAAGGTTAGTTTCATAGTCTTTTTATTAACATAGCAAATGTTTTGAAGATTTCCGCAAATTCTAACTTGTTGTATCAAGAAATATGTTGTTTATCTGATACTCTTACAGCTATTCCCTTATAGTAGACTCATGAGGTTTTGAAGAAGAAGAAGAAGAAAGCAAAAGTTGGCTGTTAAATATTCTTATAGTTTATCTGTACACTTATTTCTCTAAAAGTTACACTTAAATTTCGAATTAGTGATCCTGTTTTTTTAATATGATTAATCCGTATCTCAGACAGAAAATTATGTTTAAGATTTACGCTGTAAAATTAGGTTTTCGTCAGATCTTTGATATAGAACTTGTCAGTAAAAAAATGTTTTAAAGTTAATTGTTAAGAAAAACGCTCATTCTACACTCTAAAAAATAGTCGTAGATTAATAAACTATCAGAAAGGGTTTATTGAGACCAATGAACCTTTTAAAAAACGCTTTTCCGTTTTTTATTTCCATAAAACTAAAAAGCGTTCGTGACAGATGCAAAATGAACAACGGGCGGTTTGTTATCAAAAAAAAAGAAAAATCCTTTCAGTTTTTTGTCGAGTCTAAAATACCAGCTAAAAAGCTTTTCAGTTTTTCGTTTTTTATTTCCAAAAAACTAAAAAGCGTTTTTTAAAAGGTTTATTGGTCTCAATAAACTCTTTTTGATAGTTTATTAATCTACGACTATTTTTTAGAGTGTACACTCGTCTTTCAATGTTCTCATATATTGTAAAATGTGTTGAATATGCTGCCTTAATCTTAGCCATGTATCTTGTCGTATTATTTATCTTTATTTCATTTACTCATTCAAGTGAAACCATTTTATTAATAAAAATATGATCGAAATTTCATTCATAAAAGAATCATTATACCTATTGTAGGATATACCTGTCAATCAACTGTCAATAAATATTGAATGTTCGTAAAAGAGAAAAGAGTACAGAGAGAAAAAATATTTATTTCTATGAAAAAAAAAGTAAAACTAGTATCATGAGCATGAAGCAACAGTCTCATATGATTCTGGATAATAAGACGATAGTGAAGAGAATTGCTAGTAGACAACGAAATAGATTGAAAATGAAAAACGGTATAGGATAAGGTCAGTCTGCAAAATAGCCCCTATTTGAAGATATTTTTTTTTATACACATAAAATTTGGGTATAAGTTCAACGTATATTATTATTTTTTTTGTTGATAAAAAGCTATGATAAAAATAACTTTACATACATATACATATAATAGAATGTTATCTTTTCAAGCGCATTTATATATATTTCGAAATAAAAATAATTTAAAAAACTATCAACACACAATTGACACTTTTCTTGTATTGCTTATGATTACCGTTCTCATATCTACAGAAGACAAAAACAGTTGTATAAAAATGTATGCGATTTTCAACGTTATAAAGAAAAAGAAGGAATTATCTAAAATTAATGATAAAATTCTGTGATGCTCTATGTCTAGACTATGTTCACATTTTAAATGTAACAAAAAATTGTTTTTGAAAAAAATATACAGAAGGAAAACGATATAGTAATTGATCTATCAAGGGTAACATGGGAAACTAGATGCGTTCTGTTTCTTCTTATTTGTCTTTTGTTATTTCAGGAATACAATAAAAATTGTTTTTAGTTGAATTTGCATACAAAAAATTAATATATACTATTCAACAATAAAATAATAGTGTCAAAAGATAAAAAACATAATTTTCATCTATCGTATCTCGAAATATAAGACAACAGCTTGTATAAGTCGTTCTGAACTTTATCGAACGTTTTCTCGTATGCTTTTCTTTTCTTTCTATATTATAAAATGTAATTTACATTCAGTTTTTATGTCATACTTTTCATTGAGAGTCTTGAAATTATTTTAATTTTATGCATAAAAAAAGATTTTGTTCTTGAGAGAAAATTGTTAAAAATCTAGTTCTCAGGAAGGATATAGAACAAATGATACTTTCTAGAATTTAAAATTCTCTTGTTATTGCGCTATGTTTTATTTTTCCTTTCAAACAATGGAATCTGATGTTAGTATGATGCGTATGATTATTTCCGTTTCAGGAAGCAGATTGTTAGACAATCATATTCGCCATTCTTAATTTTTTTTCTTGAATATGTTGCCTTGACTTTGATAATACATTGCAGTATGCACAGAAAAGAAGTTTTGTTGAGTGCTAAAGATTTCGAAATTAGTTGTCAGGTTTTTTATTGTGTAAAAAAAATGTTGAAATAATCGAATATATACATTGAATTGATTCTAAAGATTATTAACTCGAGTGTTATACATCCACCTGTTACTTATAGTCTTCTAGTAGAGAAATTTGATTTTATCTATTTTTATTTAGTGACATTTTTGCATCGGCATGTACAAGTACCGACATGCGAAATCAAAGTTTGTTTTTGTTCAAATAATTTAGCCATATGAATTCCTTTTCACGACAAACATCCGTCCAGGGTACTGAAACAACAACAACCACAACAACGAGTTCAATAATGACAATTAGAACCACTGTCTCATCAAATGTTTACTTTCCATCGAATTCTCATCCACTGTGGTCTACACATTCATCCACATTGCCAACCGGTATAACATCAAATTATTATGATCAACGTTACGCACAACAACGACCAACTGATCCAATTTTTCGTACACCAATAATCAGATCGGGTGTTCCAACACATTTTTCATTTCCCAACACAGCAACTCATCTTGGATTTTATTCTAATTCATATGCAGATATGTTTGGAACTAATGATCCTTATATGAATCAGTTGAGAACAACAGCAGCTACATCTTCATTTGGACAGAACAATGGCAGTTCAACAAATTATCAGCATACATCATCTAATCGAAAGAATGATTTATCATCTAATAAAAATAAACTATACACATCACCAATACTAGGTAGTAATACGTCAGATATAAATGTCTCATTATCATCGCACCATCATCATTCTACTATTTCTAATGGTCATCGTCATTCACATAGCACAAACGGAACACTTTCACCATCAATAATTGATTCATCAGGATCATATCATCCTTCGCAACAAGAGACCAACCGAGCAATATTAAATTATCAGAAAAGTGATGAACGACAGCTTTTTCCATTGAAACGATCACATTCACCAGGACAGAATAGTATTCATCACTCTTCATCGGACGATTTACAAACAACACCAATAAATGAAGATATATTAATCTTAAAAAAATTTCGTCGAGAAAATTTTGTCACATTAAGTTCAGGAGAAATGAAAAATATAGAAAAATTAACGACAAATGATTTTATTAAAAGTGCCGATGATAGTAATGAATATTCAAGGTAAGCTATTTATCACATTCGATTGTCGGTATATTTAATCATAATTTTCTCTTTTTAATTTTAGTATCCTGACACGTGTAGAAGATGTAGGAGTTGTCGATAACAAATCGGGAAAAGCACAAATTATATTTGACATTACTGAACTTCAAAAAAGGGTCTGTTTATACTTTATTCTCTTATATTTTATCCGAACTTGTCCACGTAAAACTCAACTTTTACGTAACTGCATATCGTTTTGTGAAATTTACAGCTCTTCAGCCGAACAATATACAGAATTGGGGAATGTCTTCCTTTGTAGCTTAAAAATTTTTCTTTCAAATGATAATTAAGCAAAGTCTGGCAGTTGAGTAGTGAGTGTAAGTGACATAATGTTTTTGGTATACGCCACTTTCGTACAAAATGGCCTTATTGACGCGAATTACAGACAAGTGTTTAGGTTAGAGCTAGACTTTGCTTAATGACAATCTGAAAGAAAAATTTTAAGCTTCAAAATAAGATGCTTTCCAACTCTGTACGTTGCTCAGGTCAAGAGTTATGACTTTGATAAAAAGTTACAGACTTACGTTTTTTTGCTTGGTACGCTTGGACAGGCCAATCATTTGAAAAGTATTAAAATATCAGTCTGACATAGCATGTAATGAATTTCTATGAAAAGAGCAAGAACGACAACTGATAGTCATACGTTGTATGGAGAGAGATGAAATCAACGTAGTGTATAAAAAATGTCAGTATACTACGACACTTAATAAGTAACACTTGGTGTTATACTTTTTTTTTTATCACATCATACAGAATGAATTAGTGTAAATGACATCTATATTTCTCGTCAGTAAGTGCAATATGATGTCATGACAGATTAATTTTTGTTACTACATATGTAACAATCTACATAGAAATAAAAAACGATTACAGATAAGAATATCCTTTCAAACAGCTAAATATTAGACTCATAGTATTTCTCATTTTAAAGTAAAATAATTTTTGACTTGTATAAAAATTAAAATACAACAGTTGGCTTAGTGCTGTTCAGAATTTCACACGAGTCCTATAAAATTATCGTACTATAATCTTTTTACCTGGCAAAAGGAAGACTTGAAATTAAAAGTATCAATTTTTCTTTATTTAGATTATCTATGATGTATTAGAAGAAATGCCATTTTTTGTGTACCAACAAACATGGTCATCAATTAATCCGAATAAAACTCGTACAGTTTGTGGCCTTAAATGTCGTCAATTGGAAAAGGGCGATTTAATCATTGCTGCTATGGAGCAAGATAATCTCACATCGATTTTGACTTCTTCATTGGCAACCCCATCATCCTCACCACCACCGTCATCAACATCCATTAGCAAAAACACAGCGTTATCTCATTTGTCTCCGTGCAAAACAACACCAACGAAATTTTTGTTTAAGCGTTATATAGATGAAAATACGGGTAAAAATAATTATAATGAACATTTAAGAAGCGAGACTGATAAATGGAGTGAATCGAGCCATACATCACAATTCATTCCCACAATAACAACTGCAGCGATAGAAACCGTTCAAAACAATGTTCATCGCAAATCATTAGAAGAAATTTCTACAACGAATAAAAATATTCCAATTTGCTCAGCATCCAGAAGCCCCTCATCAACATCTCCTTCACCTCCTTCAGGTACTCATAAACGTCAAAAACTATCCTCCAATACATCAACAGTACAAAAGACCGACATGAGGATATCTAAAAGTACAAATGAAACATTGAGCAATTGAGTTATCATAATTGTTGTGTATATATCAATATAATCAGTTAGCTTATTAATCTCGGTGGAAAGTGTGTTTATTATCCATGTGCTATATTACGACAATAGAATATTTTTTTACGCTTCATAATACTCATCAATTTTAGTCATATTTTGGTCCAGTTCTTGTAAACTGTTTGATAATTGGTTGCTTTGTTTTTGCATGTATTACAACTTATGGCGAGTTTTTCTTTTATTGTTACTGTTAATTTGATCCCGGTTCTTGCTTTTCTTTTCTGTTGTACAAATCACAAACGCTTTGAACGGCGTATAAAATAGTTCAATTTAGATGACCTGTGCGTCTATGTTTCGTACAGAAGCGGTGGGCTATTCCATTCTCATACTTGTGTGTTGTATGTTTTGTAAAACAAATTATACTACTCGTACTATATGTTTGCATCGTAATAAGTATTCAAAACTCATTTATTATATTTTTTGTTTTCATTCTTTGTCAGTTAGATACAGAATAAACCTAGAACGCTTCTTTATGTTAGACTATACCACATCTGGATAAAATATAAGTTTTCATCTTTGTGTTGAATATGATTCTGGAATAGCAAACAATTTAAGCTCAACATGGCCAAAAATCAGAATCTCTTTTCTTTTTCAAGCAAATTGATGTACCTCAATGTAGAGGTGCTAGATATTCTAGTTTTTGTGAAGAAATCCACCGAAATGCTAATCTCAATATGAGACATGTTTCACCTTTTTGTTTTCTGTTTCTTGTTGTTGAAACTTTCTGTCAAAAGTGTTGAAAATATTGTCTATGTATTTTTTCCAGACTGGAAAGCAAACAAGATCATAGTGTAAGTGGTGAAATGGGTGTGTTAACAAGGAAAGTAAAACTTATCTCATTATCATCAAAACCTAGAACATAGTACAGCAAAATACAGTTTCGTCTTATACGAATACTAACGTGTATAATCAGACACAGTCCATGAAAAAAGCATTACATTCAAGGAACTTTTGCATATTTTTATACTTTTCTTACGAAGAAAACAATATGTTCGAGAAAATTGATAATTTATTTAGAAAATGTTTCACTCGTCGACCAAAATATTTCACTTTTAAAATTTCTGGCTGGATAACTCTGCCACAAAGATTCTTTAAGGAAAACAGTCGAATGTCATCCTGACATAGTCTTCCGCCTTATTTTCTTGTTGCCTATAGCTCTCTCTCACTCTCACTCTCTCTTTCTTTCTCTCACGCTGAAAACGAACATATGTGACTACTTTCGTGAAGTAGATATAGTAACAATCAAAGTAACCAGCATATTACGCTCTATCATTTACACCGACCTAAATTAAACTCAAAATGTTAGTATTTTGAGGCTGATGGCCTTTGTTTGTTTAATAAATTGTACGGAATTCATTACAAAAACAATAACAATGTATAGTAGTTTACACAAATCCTTCGAGAATAAATAAAATGTGAAAGCAAAAAAATATTACAAATGACCATTCGTTATTGTTTGACTCTTCGGCTATATGCAAAAGAGATGACATATTGTTATCCATCTTTTTAACTCAAAAATAACTTACCAGATCTTTTAATAAACGTCGACAAGCGTGGCACACAAAAGTATTTCTTACACTCAGGTTTCACCTGAAGATCTTCAGAGGTTTTCTGAAAAACCTATCAAAGATCCGGTTTATTTTTTGTAACTCTCGTCGTGAGATCGAATAGAACACCTTCTCTTATACTCATTCTTCAACTTACATGCAATTTGGTTGCGAAATGAAGGTACTAGAAGGCTTTTATTTTAGTACAGTCACAGCGAAAAAAATCAAATTTTCTGAAAAATTTTCTGATCGTTTGAAGTTTATTTAATCTGGAGAACAACACAAACATTGTCACAACATTCCCCGTGTTCGAAAACCTACGTCTCATGTGTTTTGTAGGGTTTTCGGACTTCAGATTTGACCGATAGATAGGTTCCCGCAGATTACCTGTAGCGCTAGAACCACGATAGGTGGAGACTTGGGACTTAAGCCAGGTTGTAGAGCAACATCTGCTGTATATTCATATGTGTTTAGAGCAGTACTTTACTATGTAGATTTTTGGAATGACAAGCTCGGACATTTTGTTTCAAATGGTACATCATGGTAGACCTGTCGGATTTCGCTCAGTTTAGCATAGAATTATGCCCTCAGGTATCCTCTTCCATAATCTGAAAACCGCAGGTCTCTCCTTCTTACCAGTCAGAAGTTATTCAAAAACATTGGAGTGCCTTATATTTTGAAATGGATAGCAGTAATGTTTAATGAATATCCTTAACAAAATAAATATTGGTGGTTTTCTTAAATTTTATTCAACTTCTTGGTATTTTTTTATTTGGATGATTAAAAAGCTATTAAATATACATTATGGAGGTATAAGTGTAATATATATACGTAAAGAATGTCTAGAAATAACAAAAGAATAAAAAATAAAGGAACACGAAACCGTCAAGAAAAGGAAAAAAACAGGTATTCAAAACCATGCAAAATCTTCAAAACCGCATATACAGACTACCGGGTGCAGGGAACACCGGCAAGTCTGGAAAAGACTGTTACCATCAATACCGACACGGGTTTTCTTCTTAATATTATGAGTACTAGCTCATTGAAACTACTGACACTGGAACAAATATAATATTAGTCTAAGCAAAACTTTGTATTCCGGAGAGAAAAGGTTGCACCTGTTGATATTTTCAAATTTTCAAATCTTAAATAATCGTTTAAATTCAGTTAATTTAGTTTCAACCTCAGTCATGAAAGAGCCTAGGCAAGATGTAGAGCTGACAATTTTTTACAAAAACAGTATACTTTGATGAACTCAAATAGATCGAGAGACATCTGAAAATGTCGTAGAATGTTGCTCCTATTCCTTGCCAAGGAATTCAACAATACTTGAAACTTTTAGCTTTCTACAAGATTCTATTTGAAATAAATTTAATGATGATTATGTACAAAACAAACTGAGTTAAACTATGTGTAGTGTAGTGCTTCTTTCATGGACTGTGTCTGATTATACACGTTAGTATTCGTATAAGATGAAACTGTACTTTGCTTTATATGGAAACATTCGACAGTAGAGATTTTTACGTCTTTTGTAGTTTCTGCACTGTTTTTCTGCGACACTTCGAAATTTCAAAGTTGCTCTGATATATTTTGAGTGCACATACTATTTGATCTCAGAAACTACCAGAAAATGTACTTGACCAAGCAGTTTACAAAAACTACAAAATCCAGTGGAATTGAACTAGAGTTTTAACGGAAATAGAGAGTATCCTTTTTAATACTCAGTTCTGGGGGAGTGTAAAGTCGAAACTATATATGTTGCTGATCTTCAAAATTACGAAGTTTCCTAGAAAAGCCATGCTTAAAGATTCAAAAAGCGTTAAATATTGTGAGGGACATCTATCGTGATATTTGCTGAGTACATCTCTCAATGACTCAGGTCATCAAGGTGGCAGATCAAAAAAATTAATTCGTTCGTTATTGAAGACCTAAGTGGATAAATATGTATGGCTTCACTGAGCATATTGATGATGTAATAAATGAGGTTAGATTATCTACAAAATACAGTTTTAATGAAATGCTTATATTAGGCGATTTTAATGGACATTGTAAGTTATGGTACCCAACTTCTACTAAACCCTCTACCAGAGCAGGGCTAGAATTGTATGACTTCTCAGAGAGAGCTACTCTTTATCAACTAGTTGATTGTGCTACTAGAGAAAAGTCCGACACCTGTCTTGATTTGGTTTTTGTTGATAGCCTATCCTGTGTTAAGCCTATTCTTGTTCTACCTCGACTGTATTCAACTTGTGATCATAATATAATTCAAGTTACAATTAAATCTATAAATGAACCTGTACAAAAGCGAGAGCGAACCATATATGATTATAAAAATACTGACTGGGACTATTATTGAAGGAAGCATCATCTATTGTCTGTAGTATTCTAACTCATTTGTTTAATGAATCCCTCAACCAGTGCGTATTTCCATCTACATGGAAAATAGGCTATATTAATTCTATCTTTAAATCTGGTGACCAGAGTGACCCTAAAAATTATAGACCTATTACTCTGTTGCCTATTTTGTCTAAGATTCTTGAGCGTTTAGTTTTTAAAAAATTGTATGGATATCTTGTAGGGAATAATCTCATTAATAAGAACCAGTCTGGATTTACACACCATACTTCATGTGTCAATCAGTTGCTGTCGATTGTACATAATATATATAAAGCATTTGATGAAAAGCAATCTGTTTTCGGTGTTTTCCTTGACTTTGCCAAGGCTTTTGATACAGTTTGGCAATTAGGGTCTACTGTCGAAACTTGAAGCTAAGGGAATATCACCTCTTCTTCTTCAATGGTTTGAAAGCTATCTTTTTGATAGAAAAATTGCTACAGTTGTTGAAAGTTGCTTTTCATCAGGAAAAAATATTAATAGAGGAGTACCTCAAGGTAGTGTGGTTGGTCCCTTACTATTCTTAATCTATATTGATGATCTATGTGATAACCTTGTCTGTGACATGAAATTATTTGCTGATGATGCCTCACTGTATAGGAAAGGAACTGATCTTCAACAAATGGCTTCTGATTTAAATAATGACCTAGTCATGATTGAAAAATGGTCTCAACATTGGAAATTATCTCTTAATATATCGAAGTGTGAAGTAATGCTATTCACATTAAAACCTGTTCCTGCTGTTCTCCCGCGTTTATACATTGCTGATAATCCGGTCAGGCAAACCACTGTTCATAAACACTTAGGATTGTTATTAACTGTAAGGCTAGATTGGACTACGCATATTAATAATATACTACTTAGGATCAATAAACTGATTGGACTATTAAAATTGCACAGTCGTGTGTTAAATCGACAAGCATTAGATGTCATTTATAAATCCTGTGTTTTTCTTATGGATGTGTTGTTTTCAGTAATACTACTGAATATAATTTACAACGCCTTCAGAGCGCACAATATCGTGCAGCATTAGCTGTTACGGGTGCTATGTGTGGTAGTAGTTCCGAATCTATTCTATCTGATCTTGGTTGGTCTTGTATTCGTGATATGTTTAAGCAACACCGTATAGTTACATATCATACTATAATAGTTCGTCGAAAACCTGATTATTTATTTGGTCTAATGCCTACTCCTGCTCATCCAAACTCCAATTATAACCTTCGTAGACAGTCAGCAACTGGACCACAACTAAGTATGCCCAAATGTCGCTTAGATATGGTTAAATATTCATTTTTTTATCGTGCCTTAAGCGAATGGTCTAGTCTACCTACTGATGTGTTACTTACGTGGAAATTACCGATATTCAAAAAGAAAATAAAAAAACCTGTGATAGTTAAATATCCTGTTGCAGAACATCATATGAATGAAATACATTATTGTAAATTTCGAGTTGGCTTTAGTCAACTAAAGGACGATTGCAAAAACGAAAATTAATATCTGATCCTTTCTGTTCATGTGGGGCTATTGAAACTAGTGAACATTTTTTCTTCCATTGTTCTCTGTATAATATTGAACGTTCCTTATTGTTTGATGAGGTATTGAAGCTATTGTCTATGGCCTCAACTATTTCTATGCCCATGCTGATGTTGCGCGATCTGTAATTATCGGATGATGAATGCGATGGCATTTATTATTCTGTGTTGCGGTATATAGATGAGACAAAGCGTTTTGCAAGTTCGGTCTGAGTAACCTTCAATTCTAGTATATCCAACTGCCTCTTTCACCTGTTAGCAACTTCCGTTGTCTTTATTGTTATTTCTTTTTATCATTATATTTCATTTTGAATCTTTGTTTTTTGGGAAGGAATTGTACAAAGAATGCCGATGCAACATCAACCCCGGAACACACAGAGCGCTATCCTCACTTTCTCATTCCCTGTCCAATTTTTATTTTGTTTCAACTTTTCTCCTTTTTTTTCTTTACTATTGATCTTTTACTTGTTTTGTCTTTCTGTACTCTTGTTTATTGTTGGCAAAATTGCTCGTTTATAGTGCTACAGTGAGTCCGCGACTCTTTGCATTTATTTTTCTCTCTCTTTCAATAAAACGTTTAAAAGAACTGGTTCTTCGACAGCTGATGATGCTCAAATGCAACAGTGGTAGAATTTGAATGGTACCAATCAAAAATGGTTGCTTACTCGTGTTGATACAGATCCATATTCTTATATGATTGAAAATGCGTTGAGAAGAAAAGTAGTGAATATTGTTGATTCATCAATGTTAGACTAGCACGTATTCAACAATCAACGTGTCCAAGTAAGAGTATTGGCTGTTGTTGATTTATCGGAGTTAGACCTAGCATGTATTCAGGTCTGAATAATCAAAAATGGCAACTTATTCCTCCTGGTGATGGTTATTATCAAATTGTTAATAAATTGAGTGGAAAAGTGTTGGATGTTCTTTTTTATGGAACAGCGCATGGCACAGAAATCTTCCAGTACGCCTATAAAACTGGCCATAATCAACATTGACAATTGATTCCCGTTGAATGTTCAGGTTAGTTGAAATCACAAGTAGAGAGGATATATAGGAAAATCATGCATTAGCAATTTCGAAGTGTCACAGAAAAACAGTGCAGAAACTACAAAAGGCGTAAAAATCTCTACTGTCGAATATTTCCATATAAAGCAAAGTACAGTTTCGTCTTATACGAATACTAACGTGTATAATCAGACACAGTCCATGACACGCTAAAAACGAACATATGTGACTACTTTCGTGAAGTAGATATAGTAACAATCAAAGTAACCAGCATATTACGCTCTATCATTTACACCGACCTAAATTAAACTCAAAATGTTAGTATTTTGAGGCTGATGGCCTTTGTTTGTTTAATAAATTGTACGGAATTCATTACAAAAACAATAACAATGTATAGTAGTTTACACAAATCCTTCGAGAATAAATAAAATGTGAAAGCAAAAAAATATTACAAATGACCATTCGTTATTGTTTGACTCTTCGGCTATATGCAAAAGAGATGACATATTGTTATCCATCTTTTTAACTCAAAAATAACTTACCAGATCTTTTAATAAACGTCGACAAGCGTAGCACACGTTAAATCGTTCGTCTGAGCTAAAAAAATAATACTGGTTGGTTAAATCAGATAGCAAAAACGATGTAAATAAGACAAATATCTACTGGAATGAAACCCAATGAGCCTACTTATGGTGCAGCAGATTTTCTTCTTTATTCTCATCTGATTGCTTGTCTGTGGTTAAAGTATTACTGAATAGTTTACGTATTTTATAATCATTGTCAACTCCTGATTCTGCATCGTTCAGATCAATGATGCACTGAAATACCGATGAAAAGTATAAAAGAGATGTATTCTACTGTAACAGTTCTTAAACTTACCTGACACATTTTACATAGATGATGCGAACGTTCACTGTTGTTCTCACTAAGATTTTTATCAATCTTGTCTGATGTGCTAATGAAAAAAGAAACATAAACATAAGTTATATAAGAAGAAGCACGTCATTGAGAATATTGCTGAATGTTTCTTCCACTCTCAGTTTTTTTATATATACTTGCTTGTTGACTATTTAATAAAACTAGAATAATTTAATTTGTAAACAAGTAAAACTGCCACTACGCAAAGTACATTTAATATACAAATACAAAAGTAGATACTATATTTTTCTTTTAATATAAAACTGAAATCGAACATATTAAGGGTTTTCTGGTCTATGGTTTTATTTCGATCGAACCATTTTTTTGAGGGGTCGTTATGTGACCGGACTGAAGGTGCTTTTGAAAAAACAAACAGTAGGAAAAACACATTTTGTACACAGGTCACTTTTTTTGAGGGCAAGTGCGGGGATGCTTATATCTCCATGAAAACTCATCGGAAAATTCTGGGAGACGTCTCCTTTTAGAAGACTTTCTTCTATATGTTCAGCTGAAAATCCAAAGAATTTTTCAAAATAGAGGATGAGTATCCTTAAAAATAAGAAACGATATACGTAACATTCGAAATGGCTTGCATTCTTTAAGTCATTTATTTAAACAAGAGACTGTATAGATAGACAAATGTATGTACCGAAATATTGTACTAATAGTGCTCGGAAATTGTCTTTGTAAATCGTTAATTAATGTCTCCGTTAACTGATAGATAGATGACTGTGGACCATTCTTCAAAAAAGCAATATTAGGTAAATAAATTTAGTAGAAATTTTTCTTTAAAATATTTACCATCGTTGATATATCATAATTGGTGACAGGCTCGATTGAGTTTAAACGGTTATAAATAACTATTTCTTTGGCCATGATTTCTCTACAAGCAGAGAAGAGTGTGTTGGCATGTTAACCAATAGAGAACTACTCATTCATTATTACCGAAATGGTCGAACGATAGTCACTTCATCAGAACGTGTATCAATTAAACTCTTTTCAATAAGAATAAAAAATCTTATCGATTACAAGTCTATGCCACATAGTAACAGATAACATACACACTCGAATGCAACATGTGCACCTTTCCCATTGCACATATCCGACAATATTTGTGCGGCTAGTTTTGTACAATTGTCGGCTAATAATAGTTTTGAACACTGTTCTTTTCTTGCTGTTTCAATCAATAAATTTAACCTAAAAACAAAAAATCAGAGTAATTAAATGAGATAATTCTTCTTAAAACATACTTTAAGCGACGAACAAGTTCTTCACGTGCTGTTAACGATTTGGTACTTCTAATATATTCATTCAGATCACATTCATCTTCATTAAAATTCTAAAATAACTAAAAAATATTAGTGAATTGTTTGTATGGTTGAAACAACAAAAACGCGTTCCATCATTTATGCGTCGACATTTTTATTATAGTGAAGCATTTCATAATAATAACTCATCAAGTTATTTAACAGTGTAAATTGTATAGCGAATACTGAACTCTTAATACTCTGCTAAACGATACTTTTCCGAAAAAATACAAATCTTCCTACTTGATTCAAAGGCAGAATATGTAATGGATATCCTAATTTTGTTGAAACAAGTTCTGTGACTTTGTCAGTTATCAGTTTACTACAGACATTTTCATACAGGCACGTTTCTACAATAAGAAGAATAAACAACATCAGCAACTTTAATAGATCAGTACTATGTTAAATGCGTACCATCAATGAATACTACATGAGGTTCTAACAAAATTCTTTTTTTCGTTCTAAGACTCAAACCGTCATGTATCAAATGAATTAAAGCTGTTGACGATGAGCCACCAGAGTAACCAATCAAAACACGCTCGCCTTTATCAAAAATTTTACTTTTCGACAATGTTGATCGAAATTTATGAAGAAAATACTCTTCAAAACACTGTCTGAAAGATAAACACAAAACCAAATAAAACTAACTTTTAAGAGATAGTTTTTCCAAATGACATACCGACACAGTGGATCACCAATACGTACAACGACAACCGCATCTTGATCGCAGCTCATACATTTACGTTCAATTCTAGAGAAGAAAGAAATTGATGAGCAATCGAAAATCGGTTCGTTACCCTTAAATAATAAAATAAAGCTACGTGCTTTGTCGATTTAAGTGACTGAAATTCTTCATCATCATTAACTTGACACATGACTGTTTATCTGAAATGCCTAATTAGCAGACATATAAACGGATTAAACGATACGCGATTTTGTGATGAAAAATTCATCCGGTCAAAAGCTCACAGTGAATAAAAATCATATTATCAGACACGCACGAAAAAGACATGATCCAAAAATGTCCTACTGGACACTGATAATAATTTTGAATTCATTTTAAACGTTTCAGAATAAACACCAATTAACTTGAATGATTGTTCTACGTCACTTATTTCATCTCAAGTTATATCAAGAGATCTTTTAAAACCGAATATGTTATGCAAAATGTAAACAAAAAATCATCGAGAATTTGAATTTTCTGCTCCTTCCAAATAGCTAGAAATTCGAAGAGAAAGCAGACTTGAAAAGATTTAATATTCATCAACTCATATCCCAGACTGTTATGTTTCTTTCTCTTGTACAAAAATGTTTAATATAATTTATTCATGTATCAAAACAAACTGATCTTTTTTCTCTTTTTACATATAATAAACAAGAGAACAGAAGAAAAAACAAACATGAACAACTTTACTGATGGTAGTAATATTAATTTGTTTCCGTTACTCGTTTATGGTAATAGTATGCAAGCACCACCAGCAGCTTTAATTTTTTCTTCAGCACGTTTTGAAAATAATTTTGCTTTAACAATCACTGGATGTTTGGGTAATACACCTTTACCCAATACTTTAAAATAACCAGCTCTTAAAACATTGATAACTGGTGCTAATTTTGTTTCATTTGTTTCATATTTTTCTTGTGTACGTTTTGTGACAAGTGACCATAAACGATCCAGATTAACTGTTGGACACCAACTACGATTTTTCAACATATGAAATTCTCGTTGACCCACTTTTCCAAAATAACCTGGATGAAATTTATCGAACAATGTTCGATGGTGATGAAGACCACCAGCATTACCACGACCACCAGGATGTTTTCGATGTTTTCCAACTCGACCGTGACCATGTGATACATTACCACGTAGTTTTACCGTTTTTCTTCTTTTATTTAAACGTGAATTACGTGCCGAACCACGAGCAGTCATGTTGTTAATTGAGATAGAAAAGTTTTAAATTAATCTAAAACATAGAAACAAGGTAATATTAATGTTTTAAATACAGAAGTGTCTATATATTGAAAAAAAAATTCCACAGAGAATATACTGAAATAATCAGTATAAAAGTGCATGCAAGTGCTCATGGTTATTTTTTGCTGCCAAGCTGCCCTATACTGTATAACAAATGAAGATAGAAATTCCCGATTAATATGTTTGTCCATGTTCTAATAGTCAAATTTTAACATTCATTCGTTTTGCATTTAAGTAGTTACAACTCTTTCCATCATACGATGAGTGACTGGTATAAATTGCATGTCGTACCAGTTCCAATGATTCTTGCTGGGTTCGAACTATCAGCTGTGTGTGAAACCACTACAACATATTGTATTTAATACTGAATGTTTCTAATAGTTTTGAGTATACTTGACGTTGAAATATGTTCATATCAACTATGATTTAGATTAATCAGTAGAAAAAAGTTAATTTGGATCATGTAACTAAGTCTGAAGCCATGGAATAAAATTACCAAATATCACGGAACGATTGGCATCATTATTTGATTCGATCGTAACAATCTGACTGAGATGCCAAAAAAATAAGACTAGTCGTGTATTATTTCAGCCAAGAATACAAAATTGTTTCGATATATATATACCTGTTGTTGGGTTAAAGTGATTTATCATGACCACTTTGAGCTTACTCATGGAATGTAAACCTTTTAGATATTAATAAATTTTCATTTACTACACATGAATTTCACGCATGACCAAAAAACTGTGTAAAAGAAACTAAGAAAAAAATCGAGTACATGCATTAGGTGGAAATGATTGAACATTTGAAGATCTCTGTAGTTTGCGGCCAATCATCATAAAGAAAAGAATCGTAAAATTTGACAGAAAGAAATAGATATACAAAATTATAAGCATATTGCTTTTCCGCGTACTTCTTCGATTTTCAATAGAAGGTAGATGATCCCTTAAGAATCACACAGAGAGTTATCATAAAAAAAAGACCAGAACGATGAAAACATTTTCTCTGAGAGCATACTTCAAACACTGAAGGAACGTGAAAAGGTTCGTCGAATCGTAGAAACCAATAATGTTAAAATGGTTCCTCTAGAATTGAGCTCATCAAGTGTTCGTTTTCAACCTTTTTTCGTGTTGTCTATGTGAGGCCTTTTTTAGATGGCTTACGTTCGAAAGATCCTGAAATTACCTGTCCGATACCTGCCATTGTCCAATGAACGGCAGAGGCAAATGGTACCTTCGCACTTCACGCCTAGAAGATATTCTATCCCCTCCTTTTTATGTACTTAGATTTGGTTTCAATAAAAACAGTCTGTCAATGTATCCAGCAATCAAGTCGATAATGCAGTAATAAGCGACAAATCATCCGAAGTTATAGCGTTTTTTTCTACTGGCTGTCATCATCCTACAATTAATTCTTAACATTTTTGCCTGAGATTTCTTTTAATTGTTGCGTAAAGAAAATTGACATTCTTTTACTACGCTTTTGCACTCCAATTTTCTTTTAATTTTGTTTCGACTAATGACATAATTTTACAGTTTATTTATTGGCAAACTTAACGTCCTCCAGATTTGAATTGAGCACCTATAGTTACTGTAGCAGGAAAACGAAAAGGCTCGAAAATAGAAATTATTATCATTTAGTGAAGCTGGTACAGAACTACTATTATTTAGATCAGTACCTGTATCATGTATTTCTTCAGATTAATCATATTAGTTACTCAAGCAAAACGGGATGACGACAACAAATGAAGAACGAGATACCATTGACGGTAAAATATTGCTTCTTTAGTATTGATTGAATATTGTTACATGTTCTCTCCTTTCTAGGCGATAGCGAGCGTGATCGAAATAAACGTAAACCGTTTTATAAAAAAGAGAAACCTGATAAAGGTTATTCTTCGTTATTGATGGCAGCTACTGCAAGCGAAGAAGCATTAACAAGTGCAGTCGATTTTCAGTTAGAAATTTTCTAGTATTCTCCAAAATTTTGTTTCATCTGTTATTTATATTTTAGAATATTCAAAGGTAAAAAGAAACACGGTTTCAAGCTGATTAAAACAAAGAGCGAGAAGAAATCAGCTGATTATGAGAAAAAAGAACGAAGATCCAGTAAGGATTATACTGATGGCTCTATTTGTTGTTGTTTAAAAACATTGATGTTTTATTAACTTTTTCTAGGTTTGAAGGAAGAAAAGCGAAAAAAATCGAAATCATTCCGTGAAAGTGGAACAAGCACAACCGGTAATAAGAGGATGAAAGCGAATCCATGGTTGTATTCTCACGCTTTCTATTTTTTTTAGAATTGCTTGAACAACTCCGACTCATTGTTGGTTTGCCGCTTGAGGATGCTGTGAAACGGAATCCGTTGTCTAATAACAGTGGATTAGCCGTTCCAAAATTTTTGCTAGAATGTATCGAAATTATTGACCAAAGTATGTTTTTTAATGAAAAAATAATATATTTTTTTTACTTCTAATTTGTTTAGGTCAACCACAAGAAAATGTTTACCGTCATGAAGCCGTTAAAATTAAGCAGGCAGCTGATTTAGAATATGCATTAAAACAACCACTGACTGCTGGATTTGCTGTTAGTTTATTGAAACGATTTTTTAAAGAGTTACCTGAGCCAATTTTAGCACATGAACCGATTAATGCAATAGTTAAAATTATTACAGATGGCGGTAGGTGGTATTTTTTACTGAACGAGTCAAAAGTTTATGTTGTTTTATTTAGCAGTTGGAATTGCAAATCCTGCCTGTGATTTGTCTGACACAACAAAAACAAATGAAATACGTCAAATTTTACAGAAAATACCGAAATGTAATCGTGATACATTGCATATATTATTCAATCATTTATATCAAATTGTTACGCCGGTAAAACGATGTTTTTTTGAATAATCTGAAAGATTTATTAAACTATTTGCCATGAGATTGATATGAATTATTTTTTCAAATATTAGCATTCGACATCAACGTTACTTTCATCTGGTGGTAGCAGTACAAATATTCAAGCACAAACAGTAATTAACTCAATGTTAACTGTATTGAAAATGAAAGAACGAGTTGTTAAATATTTTATTCAAAATGTTAGTGAACTTTTTGATAAACAGAGTATTTTGACCACTTCAGTGACACCCAGGTTTGTTGAATTGCAGTTTTCTAACTTTTTTAAATATAAACATATATTTTTTATTTTCAGAGTACCGTTGATGAAAAATGTATCTCGTTTGTCATTGTTGCCAGACTGTGTCAAGTAAGCTTAACTTTTCATCTCCTTGGTAATTACACTGTATTTCAACAGAAAAATATTGTTCATGTAGAGAGCTTGAAAATGAATTAACAAAACAGGAAAACATATTGAATAAGATGCATGAGGATATGCAAAAACAAACAACGTTTACATTTGGCACAACAACACCTCCAAACGTTGATAAAGAGAAAGAAGAACAACTATGGACCCAGCAACGGATGGTAACAGCAATAAAACGAAAAGTAAGTTCAATTTAAAGACTATCACATTTAATTTAATTTTACATTCTTTTTCCCTCTATACTAGATTAAACAAGAAAAAAGACGACTCCAACAAACAACATTAAATCGACAATCATCATCATCACTGAGTCTCGATCCCTTGTCACCGTCGACATTCTCAATAGTCACTTCTGCTCACAGAAAATGTATATTGAATTGTTATTCGCTTTGTCAATAAGTATTAATCAATTTTTCTTGTTTCAGCATTATTGAAAGATGACCAAATATCCCAACAAGTTATTGTTATTGTAAATAAAAATAAACGAGATGATACACCGATAACAGATCGAACTTGTCACTCTGTAACTGAAACGCCCAAAACAGCAGTATCAAGTACTAGTTCAAAGAAAATGAGTGATAGTGATATTAAAATACAATTAAGACAAAGAAATAAATCAGACGTTGGTGAAATTGAAATAGATGGAAGTGGTAATGATGATGACGTATTCATAAAAACATTGTCCAAAAACAAGACGATCTTTATGGAAAAAGATGAAGGAAATTTAATGAAGTGTGATTATTTGAAAGAAAAAATTTTAGAACATCGTTTAATAGTAAAATGTAAGAAGATACATTTTTTTACTGGTAGATTGAGTTGATGTTCTCTCATTGTTATGCATCTGATGCATTAATTAGAAAAAAACTTAGACACTGCCACTCATCCACTTTCTTTCCTCACTTTCTCTAAAAACTAAGTAATTATCATCTTAGGATAAGAGTGTACGACTTGTTTTTTAGTGAAAAAAATTTATGAAGCATTTATGCAGGAAAAAGAAATGTTAGCAAAACTAGAACAAATAAATCAACAACCGTTTAAATCTCTCACATCTCCTGAGCAACAAATTTCGCCATCTAGCGATACTGTTCCAGTAATGCCTCCACCATTACCACAGCGTCCATCAGAAATTTCACAATCACAGCAACAGATAATGATGAAATCCTTGAACAATGAAACGATTAAATTACCACTACTACCATCTCTTAGTTTATTGTCAACTAATAGTGATACACTTTCGACAACAAAACTTAAAGACGATGTAATAGTTCAGCATCTTCATTGTACATCGCCAGATCAAAAAATTACAATTCTACAAGAATTATTGAATATAATAAAACAAAATAATCAACTGGAAGTATGTACTATTTTGTATATGTCTAATTTTGTTTAGTTACTTAATATGAAGGAAATAGCTGGTATTGGTATGGGGAATTTGTTACAGTGCGACGCAAAATTTCTAGGGTACTTCATTTTACAGTCACTATTATTGGAAACATCATTCTATTTCCGCGATATATTTTACTGGAAGTGCTACTATTGTACCTAATACAGTAAACATTTCTCTGAAAAATGAAATGTTGCTTGACTCTGTTCGATGAACCTTTGACCATATATAAAAATCTTAAAAAACGAGAAAAAGTATGATTTTGGTGCCATCTAAAAAATAATCATATTTTTTTAGGATAGATATCAGAAATGTGAACGACGTTTCAATTTTTGAAGAGAAATGTTTTTGAAGTGCAGCAGACTTCGAACGACCTTGGTATTCAAATGAAGTAACCAGTAGAAAACCGTCAAAAAGATTGATTCATTGTCATATGATATGATTTTCTAAATGCTGCTTCATTTAAATGGCAAAGCCGTTCGAAGTCTGTTGCGCTTCAAAAACATTTCTCTTCAAAAATTGAAACGTCGTTCACATTTCTGATATCTATCCTAAAAAATTATTATTATTTTTCAAATGGCACCAAAATCACACTCAAATTTTGCAGCGCACTGTACTGTTCATTGAGAACTATATTTCTACTGTGAAAGAGAGTATCGCTTTTTTGACGGAACGTCTGAAAAATTTTAAAACTTCTTAGACGACTCTGTGTCTAATAAGAAAAAAAATTAGTAAATAATAAAACTTGCAAAAGAGGATCGTACTGTGATTAAATTTTGTTTTAATTAGAGACGGTTTCTTCATATCATAGTACTTCTACTATAGAAAAAGGACAGACTATTAAAAATAATCATACATTGATTTAGTTCTTTGTGCTATTATGATTTAACATTTCGAATATTTTTAGACAAAAATTGAAGCAATCAAACGAAATATTGAAAATGAAAGTGAACGTATTGAAAACTTATGTGTCGATTTGAAATATTCAAGATTGTCAATTAAATTTCAACAGTTGATAAGTAATAACAACGAAAAAATCATAAATAACAATGGAAAGTCAAATGATCAAATGGTTCAAACAACAAAACTTTGAAACATTTATATTTCTCTTTTATTTTTCTATTATATATTTTTTTTATTCATGTCTGTTGTCAACGAGTTAATGTTTCCATGATTGGAACTATAATAACGAATAGTAAACAAATGATTGTTTGTCTCTCCGGTGCGAGCGAGAATGTGTGTCTAACACTAGTAAAATGAATGACTTTTTTTTTTTTTATATACAAAAGAGCGTAAAACAAAATGCTTAATATTTTTTTTCTTTATCTTCACGGCAATTTAGAGAGTATTTTTTTCCTTATCAATAATTGTTAAAAGAATTTTTTGTATTTTTTGATCTGATGGAATAGTTGGTCATTTATGATGGTTTTTTTCTCATTTCAAAACTATGTATTTTCTCTACGAAAACAACGGGCAAGAAAGATATACGATTTTTTTATATGTTTATCCTGCTCATACACGTTTGTTTTATTTATTTATGCTTTTTTGTTATTATGTTTTTCTATTTGATTGTCTATTTCCAGACACTAAAAAAGAAATTAGTATAATGCAATTTTACATCTTAGACTTTCAAAAGAGTAAAATATTTTTTGATCTTATGAATATTTTTACATACTAGTCAGAAAAATGAATTGTTGGACATAATTGAGAAATATTTTTATTTTTGTATTATCGTACACTCTTATGAAAGATCATATTCGTTATTTTAAATGTGTTTTATCCAAGGAGAAAAAGCCATTTATGAGTGTATTCCCATTTATAAGTGAAATAAGTTACTTTCTCACTATTTTTTGAAGTGAAAAAATCACTTTCTTTTTTCAAAGGAGATGAATGAGAACGCCAATAGAAAAAATCACTTTTTCACTTAAAAAAGTGAGAAAGTAACTTAAATAAGTGAAAAAGGTAACTTATTTCACTTACTTATAAGTGGGAATATATCTATAAATGGTTTTATTTCTCCTTGTTTTTATCTTTTTAAGGATATTTATTGTCATGTCATTGTCAATGAAGTGTATGAGTATGATTTTGAGAAGATTATATTTATCAACAAGTAAGCTTCTGATGGTGCGAGCTCATGTCAAAGTAACCTATTACATAGAATTACGAATTATTAGTGAATTTACTTTTGCATTTTTTAAGAATATGGTTGTTCAAAAACGATATTTGACAATAAACAATGCTAATTTAAATGCTGGTGAAAACAAATTGGTTCAAATATTGAAAAAACGATTTCCACAGGCAACAAAAGTTTCTGTTACTGATATTTCAGGTAAGAAATGTGATAAAATTGCAGAAAAAGAATAGAAGATTTGAATATATATATCCTGTTCTATTTTCAAGGTGGTTGCGGTGCTAGCTATGAAATTAATGTTATATCATCCGAATTTAAAAATATGAGAATAGTTAACCAACATCGAAAAGTTTCAGAAGTAAGATTTGGATATATAGTTATTTAATGTATCTTTTCATTTACTTCTTTGTTTAGGCATTAGCTGACGAACTCCCATCAATTCATTCAGTTCGAATTTTTACAGCAACAGATGAAAATCACACTGTTTAAATACTTTTCATCATTTTTTTGGACTTTTAGTTTTTTACTTCTTTCCTTCTCGGTTTGATTGCATAAGTAAATCAAAGTAAACTTGGCGAAGATTTTCAAATTAAATTATATTCTTCCCCTTCTCGCCAGTTTAAGATGGTTGTCAGGCTAAATGAGTACCAAATTAAACATTGTTTTTAGTATTATTGAAGAATTATTTTATCATTAAACAAAGATGAATATTCATTGTGTGTAATATTAATTTTCTCCTTGAGCAAACTTTTCGTTTTGTTTTGATTTCTACATTTTTTATACGACAATTTTCAACTATCGAAAAAACGTGAATCGATCGATCTTCTAATTTTTTTAAATCAAGAAACTGAATCTAGTCATACACAAATTCTAAACAAAATATAATAAAAAGAAAAAAAAAACATATTTGACGAATAACAACCATTTGGTTACATTATTTCACAATGAATGTTCATAGGCCTCTCGAACGGTACGATATGCTCGTTGTTGTTCATCAGCTAAACGAGCAAGAGTTTCCGGATATTTATGAGTAGCATAATATGGTGGAGGCTCATAGTATTGTTCGTATGGATGACTAGATTCATCTTGATTTGATGGAAAATTTTGTTGAAAATTCAATGTATATTGCGCTGTTGTATTTGACGAATTCTAAAACAAGTATTGATATATAAGATGTTTGCTTAATCACAATGATCATTACGAACTTTAGAAGAATCTCTTAAACAAGATCTGACATTTTTACGTGTTCGAATAAGATATTTGATAAATACTGTTGTAGCAATAATAATAACTAAAAAGATAACGGTGGCAATTCCAACAGCTAAAGAGAGAGAGAAAGAGAGAAAAATGTACCTGTTTGTAAGATTGAATGATATGACAATGATAAAAAAGACTTACCCACATAAAAATTAAAGTCTTTCAATAATAAATAAGGCGTGAAGTATGATTGATGACTATTATCTAAAATATATTAGAATTGTTCATATATAAAATTAAATTTTTTCTGAAAAGATTAACTTACATCCATGTAAAATGTATGAACATGCTCGACGATCTTGTATAGTTTGGCATGGTATGTAACCAACAACCTAAAACAAAGTAAAATTTTATATTAGAATTCTATTCTATTAATCAGTGAGTGAATAAAACATACCTTGCATGCTAAATCACAGCGAATATCATCTTCTGGTGGACATAAATATAAATTGTTAACACATTGTTCTAAATAAAAAATTTATTTATGTTTTTCTTCATTCTCACTATCGAGAAAATGAGAAAGAAAGCGAGAAAAAAATTGGAAAATTTTAATTTTAATTTTCAAATATTATCTCTTCCCTTTTTAAATGCACTTACTACAAAACGGTCCATTTTCATCATATTTATTTAAACAATCATAAGTTCCATCACAAAATTGATCCCAACGAATAGTTCGATTCCCATCACATTGGCCACCATCATAAATTTTTACCATTGATAAATATCTACATTATCTAGAAAATTAAAGTATAAAGTGAGTATGATATACATAGAACTGTCATATCTCGTTCAGCTATTAGCTTCGATCGTTAAAAATAATATTATGTAATATATTTGCTAATATTCTATGTACGTACAAATGACATTTGTTAGAGAAATGAGAGAGAGAGAGAAAGAGAAAAGAAAAATAAATGTACAGTTTAGCAGAGAATATAGACTAACTTGGTCTTTTTTCTACTGTAAGTCATCTATTGTTCATGATGTAATTGAGAGCATCATACATCCGAGAGAACAAGAAAAGGAAAGATCAGATTTATTCTTATCATATCATCAATAAATAGATTTTCTGTATTTCTTCTTCTAAACATGCACCAACAAGAAAAAGTATATGCCACAATCGTTACAGAATCTACAACAAGCTCATCATATTCTATATCCAAAAATATAAGATATTTAATAATTTTACATTCATACATACATATACGCTTATGTACCATATGGTTTGACAATAGTCTATGTGTATGTATTCTTATTAATGAGAAAAACGAACTATCATCCATAACCATTTTTTGTTAACATACCGCGAATATTATCGCAATGACAGATGTTTTCCGTAACAGGTTTATAAGTCTACATTTGACAATAACGTACAAATTTATAAGTTGTAAAAAAGAGTTACTGGAAGGAATATTAGTAGAAATCAACAGAACAAATTGCTTGTATAATTATATATAGAAACATGTTGAAGAATATAAATTAGTTTAAACCTTGAGCAACAAGTTGAACTTCTGTCAAAATGTCATGTATTATTCATTTTGTTGTTTCTAGTTTAATTTTTTTTTTTCTTTAGTTCGGAAGAACATGATATATATATATATATAATAGATGATTAAGGCAATAGGGCATTAACAGTATTAGATTTAAAAACAGAATATTTTTTCCCACTTGATTGTCTCTTTTTGTTAGTTTCATAATAATTCTAAAATAAGAATTCTCTCTCTTTTATTGTTATAATATATTGTATCATCAGACTAGAATCGAACGCTTGGATGCTTATGCTGGAAATTTATATGAAAGTATTTCAAATGATCACATCTCTCATACGCGTGTGTCTAAGCGTTAAAAAAAAAGAGAAGAATAATGAAAAAGACAAAGAGACGATTATTCGAGAATTTTAATTGTTTTGTAGGACAAAGAAATTGATCATACCCGAACTATAGAGAAAAATGTTTTCGGGAATTATATAAAATGATTTTTTTCTCCTCTTTTTGTGTGTTAAAGAATAGTTAAACTGATGCTTACACAGAGTTTAACAATGTCATTGTAAATATAGGAATATGAATATTCAACATAACGAAAAAAGACAAAAGTGATTCAAGAGATGTTTATTACGCTGTGTAGACGTATTATGTATAGAATCTTTTTTTACTCAGACAAATAATTATCTGTAGTATGTGCCCTTGTAAACTTGCGATAACAAACTATTATTGCACTCTACTAAAAAAAAAAGAAGTACATAGAAACTGTGTGATTAAAATGAGAAAAACTTTCTGGAGGACAGAACACAAAATAAGATAGAATACGGCAAACACAAATTAATACATGTTGTATCACTGTCAAAGTTGTACGTGGGGAAAAGGATGTAATTAGAAAAAATCGTGACATTAGCATCGTCAAATTAATTACGCAATATCTTTAATTTAGCGTAAAAGTTACTGTTTTATTTCATATACTGGTAACTAACTTCTATTCTATCATTGACTAGTCTATCATCTAATGATTAGTTCGTTATTAACATGTGTTTTTATAGTATCAAGCAGAGAGGAAGGAAGGGAGAATATTTCGTCTTATGGTTTCCCTTACCAGCGTAGATGCTAACAAATGTCAGTATCAATAGCTCGATATCTTCTTTACAGTTGACAAATTTCTGACATGATCTCATGCCATGTCTAGTAGTCAACTACAATTTTGGTCACAAGGCTGGAGCCTAACGCAGAGTTATTTTCATCCTATTGTTTGAGTTCCTCATACACACTCACTAAGTACGTAAGAGCTCGTTCTAGAAAGCCGCGAAGATTAATTGGAGAAACTGTATTGTACATCACAATGAAGTGAGTATGTTATCAGATGGATGATCCAAGACAATAGATCATAATTAATTTGCCCAAAGTTATTACATGAACTGTCGGCTTCTACGTTCGAACACAATACGTTTTAAGTACATGATGAACAACGTAACTACTAAGCAATGTATGATTAATTACAAATTTTACTTAATAAAAAAATGAACAGAAAAATGAACAATATTTCACTGTTTAAATCACAAATACTCTTCTCAATTTCAAGGCATCATAAAACGTTCACTACCTTTATTAACGAATAGTATTGGTATACTTGAAATCGAGTGATAAAAGAAAAGTGATGTTTTTTATTTTATTTTGAGTGTTAAACCGATAAAGAGAGACATGAAGAACGAAAAAAGAAGAAAAAAAAATAGAGGAAAAGAAGGACAAGTTTCAATTATATTCATCTGCAAAAATTCTATAGTTGGATACATTGTCCTTGTCAACAAATAATATTCTTATGAATTTTCATTTGACTCTTTTTTTTATCTTTTATATATATTTTTAAATCATCTTTCTACAACAGTAACAAAGAGAGAGTGAAAAAAAATAAAACATAAAAGAGCGAAAAAGAAGAAGAAGAAGAAGAAGAAGAAAGAAAAAGAATATTATAGTAACACTACACATTTATTATTATTATTATTATTATTGTATATTTGACATAATTTTTCCCGAGATGAAAAGATCAAAAATAGAAAAAAAGGTGAAAAATAAAAAAAAGCTCTTCAGGTCTAATCGAATATGTTCCAGTGACATCATTGTAATTAGACATTTAAACTTTACTCGAGAAGATTTCCGTAAATTGACACAGAAAAAGAAAGAAAGAAATTGTTTATTCAAATGAATAAAGTGAAATAATTCTCAGCTGACTTGTTGTAGATTTTCTTTTTGTTTCATCGAGTGATTTCTTCCGTTTTTTTAAAAGGCAGAGAGAATATAAAATGAATTATGAATGATTTTCTCAAGTTTTCTTAATAGAGATGTTACTAGCAATTAAATTGAAATTCTGTAATTCACTGCTTCCCATTCATGGATAGTATTTAAGTCATATCTAAAAGTCACTTTTTTTAATGTATTACTATATATGAGAAAAACATCGATTTTACGCCGTGTGTCAACTTTCAAATTGAAGTAATAAGCGTAATAGAAAACTGATCCTATGGACAATTTTGAAGAGTGTTTTTCGCCGTAATAACTAGATTGATAACTAACATATTAATAAAGGCTGTTAAAAACGAAAGAAAATAATGATCCCGTCATATGAAAAAGAAACTTTTTTATGACAGACAAAAACGAAATAGTTCATACATCCTTTTTACAAAATTTGAAGCCAATGTTATGCAGTAGAAAAATCAATACACAGTTAATTGTGTAACAATCTTTCATCGAAACATTGCTTGAATTTATCTCAATTTTTATTGATTGACATATTATTCTATTTGAGTATATCCAAAACTAATATTTTGTGCTTGTGTGACATTGTTGCATTATTATTCTTAATAGTATTATTATGTTCTTTCGAATTGCAAGAAAAGCTCATAATGTTTTCATTATGTATATGAGCTTTTTTCTTTTATTTAGTAAACTGACTTTTCACCTTACAATGGTAGCTTGGGCGTCGATGAGAATCATTTGACAGTAGGCACCGATTTTTATCTTGCCTTTATCACGATTTCTATCTTGTCATATTGGAGACGTGCAATGTAGCTGTTTGTTTAGCCCTGGCCTTACCATGTGAAAAGTTTTTGAGTCCAAACCCTACTCTATTCTGTGACTTTAGATGATCTTAGAGCTCTTCACATCTCCACTCGACATAATTTAGAGCAATAATAATAATGAATCAAAACTATTTAATACAAATCTGTTGGTAATGACAAATTTGATTACTAAAGATACTACATATATTTTCAACTGAATAATTTGTTTATATATTTAACGTATGCATTCTGTATTCTACACTAATATTATAATTCCTTCCATTTTTATTTTAATTGTGGAACCATAATGTTATTTCGTTGTCCTAATTCATTCTCATTCTTACCAAACTAGTAAACTTTTCTGCACTAGTACACATCGATGCGGTACAAGGGCCGAGAATATAACGAAATTTTCAAGTTGCGCACTGATATGCGTCAAGCCAGATAAATCTATTATTCCTGCACCGGTGCGCAGGAATGTACGCTAAATTTCGTTTGCAATCACTATTTTTAATAGCCCGATATCTTCCCTGCAGTTGACAAACTTCTGAAATGGTCACCCATCTCGTTACTAGTCATCAATCACAGCTTTGGACAGAAGGCTAGCCGGACACAGAGTCCTTTTGCTCAATTACTTGAGCTCCTCATACACACTCACCAATCATACTAGCCATAGAACTGTACTGCACGTCACAACGTAGTGAGTATGGTGTCGGACCGGTGATGGGAGACGCTAAGACATGAGTCATGAGACATGTCTAAGGTTATTACATGGCTTGACGGCACGAAGGTTCGAACAAGTACCTTTGAAGTACGTTACGAACAACATAACAACTAAGCCATGTCGTCAGAGTGCCGAGAGAGTGCCATATGATTATGATACACCAATATGGAACTAATACCAACATCAGTGTCCTACTCTAATTAATACAAAATTAAGTAAAATCAAATGTAATAAGAAATAATTATCGACTAAATAAATTTTACTGTCTTGGTGAAATTTTTTGTAGATGCAACATTGAATTCTAGTAATACGACATTGGCATACACACTGAGTATCACATATCGGCGTGGCCAGCTAACTCTGCTACCGTAACAGAATTCTGTAACAGTTTTTCATCATGTTGTTTTGTCTACAATTCCTAAACTGACTGTCGTAGAGTGTCTCGGGACATCTTAAGTTGAAGAGAAAAGTCTGATTAACATTTTAAGACGTTTTTCAGCCTTATGACATGTATTGTTACGAAGCTGTAACCTAAACATTCGACACTAGTTCTAAATTCGAAAAAATTAAAAACTAGTGTCGAGTGTTTAGGTTACAGCTTCGTAACAATACATGTCATAAGGCTGAAAAATGTCTTCAAATGTTAACCAGACTTTTCTCTTCAACTTAAGATGTCCCGAGACACTCTATAGCAGTCAGTCTATGGCAGAGGATACGAGCCCTCGGTGAGGAACCATTTTCGAGTGCTCGAGTTATGTAAATATGTTATATATAATATGTTATGTAAAATAAGATCATTTAGTCAGTATTTCTAAACCGATGTACGATGATGAGTTAAAATTTGGAACTTATAAATTTTACCAAATCATATGTGTATGATAAGTTGTTACATTTAAACATGTACTTAACATATTCTAAAAATGTTATTTTTGAAAAGTTATTTTTAAAATTACTAACAAAAATATAACAACTAAATAATACATGAGACAGATTGATATTTGCTTTCGTTGATCTCGACTGTCTCGACTGTCGAAAACAGAAATATAGTTTAAAACATTGGTCACATGAGATAATAACGGTAAAATCTGGCATTACTCAATAAACGAAATTGTTCTTTTGCAAGCTCAAAACGACTGTTGTATAACTTGTTGTTCATAAACATAAAAAATATTTCATTCACAAATCACTCCCATTTGTAGAAATGAACCTTGACGTTTTTTTTATTCTGCTAGATTCTATCGCAGCATGTAAGAACTATTTACTTTCTCCATACATTGATCCAAGCAGCACGACATGACATTCGGATTTTTATATCGAAAAACCTTTTTCTTTAAGTTTGCTTTTGAAGGAGGAAAACAAAGAGATTTTGATTAAATACTTGAGGAAGTATGAGCCAAAATTTTTGGAGGAAGCCTTTTGTCTTCCTTTAGAATCAAATTCAAATAAAAGAAGATTTTTTGATATAGAAAATACGAATGTTTCATCGCCGTTGAGTAGAAATTTTAGGTGGTTTTCACATGAAACACCCTTTACGCGCTCTGCATTTCAGAATGATATCGAGAGTAATTTTATATCGCAATGATTTTCATTGAATGTCATTTATGTATCTTATCTAGTAGTAGTAGTAGTAATTTTATTTAGTCCTTGATCTTAAAACTGACTTGGTGATGATGAAAGTTTAAAAGAAACTTTGTCTAGATCATACCGAACAAAGAGAAAAATATAACATAAAAAAAC